CGGGGAGAGGAGTAGTGGGGGGTACCCAGAACAGGCTGCGTGGAGCATCTCCTCCGGGGGGGAAGGGGGGGAACCTGCGGATCCGGTGGCGCCTGATCGCTGCGCTCTAAGTGCCACCTGCGCTCGCGCCTGGGGCCGCAAGCGGTGACACCCACACCCGCGCCGTGCAGCCATAGGTGGCCGACCCTGGCCCTGTGCAGAGCTTTTGGTGGACAGGGGTGAGGCCGGAGGCGTGTCCTTGGGTGCCCCCCTTGGGGTTTGCACCACCTGTCACTCTGGTGGCGACAGAAAGGAAAGCCAGAGAGGCCGGTCAGCTTGTCCAAGGCCGCCCAGCACCCAGAATGGCAAAGTCTGGCCTTTGCCCTGAGAAAAAGACCCTGAGTGACAGGCCCGTGGGGGCAAACTCTGTTAGGAAGTGAGGGGAATTCCCAGAGGCCGAACGTTAAGGGAAGTGGCGGAAACCCATTCGCTTTTACAGGCAGAGAGGGAGCGGGACGCCCAGACTCTCGAAGTTAGGCTCTCAGGCTCCTTGGGCGAGACCAGGTGTTTGCAAGTGAGGGTGACCCTAACCCCCAAGGGACACTGGGCCGTCCATGTCTGGGGACATCTGTGGTTGTCATGACTGGGGGGGTGCTCCTGGCATTGAGTGGATGGGGGTCAGGGATGCTGCTCAACACCCCACACTGCCCAGGACAGTTCCCCACAGAGAGTGACCCTGCTCCAAATGCCCACATTGCAAAGGGCAGATCCTGTTTTACAACTCAGCACTGTGATTCTAGCGCTATCTGGTGTCCGCTTCACTTATGTCCGTGCGTGCCTGCAGCTGGCCCTTCCTCCTCTAAAGCTGACGACCAGCTCCCCAGCTCTACCCTTCCCTGCGAGAAAGTCCTCATTGGACCTTTCTTGTGGAGAAAGGGTGAATCTCGGTTGTTTGAACATTGAAAGGGGAGATTGTGAGTCCCCCCTCCCCGCTGGGTAGCTCCTTTGGTTGGAGCATTGTCCCTGTACCGAAAAGGTTGTGGTTGCTTCAGGGTTAGGGCACATACCTAGGTTGTGGGTTCGATCCAGGTTTCTCTCTTTCTCTTCCCACGTTTCCTTGGGTGAGGATTTATATATATATATAATGATTAGATTCCCCTTTAAAAAAGAAAGAAAGGAAAAAGGAAGGCAAGAGGGACAGGAAGGGAAGATCATGAGCCAGGCGCCACAGGCCTCAGTGAATGAGGGGTCGCTGACATCAACCACGAGGGAGGAGGGTCCAATGAGCCATGAGAGGGTGAGAGAGAGTTGGTCTGGAAATGCTAGGAAGGGGCTGGAGGTCCTGGACCCACTGCCATGAACTGCGATTTCAAGTCTCAAGAGCAAAGAGGGAACCCCTTGCAGTGTGGGGGCAGGGTTGTAAATCCCTCCAACCCCAGCTTCAAAGAATCCCCTGCGTGAAGCCCTTTGACAACGAGGCAAAGGGGAGGGCAAGGATCCTCAGCTTTACTCGACTTTGGTGTTTTTATGGCTTTCCTAGGGCAGCTGGAACAAAGCACTGCAGACTGGGTGGCTTAGAACAATAGGCATTTATTCTCATATTCCGAAGGCCGAAAGTCAGAGATCAAGGTGTCAGCAGGGTTGGTGTCCACTGAGGCTTCTCTCCTTGCCTTGTAGATGGCCACTTTCTCCCCGTGTCCTCTCATCCATGGGTCTTGTCTGCAGGAATTCTTGCTGGGGTGTGCCGTGGCCTTTATCTTTTTCTGGGGGGGTGATTTTTGAAGGTTTCATCTGTGAATACGGATCACACCCGTGGGAGATGTTCAGTACACAGCCCCTATCTATTACTCAGGAGTCGGTGGGAGGGTTTGCCATTTACAATGGACTTCACTGAGAGGACGTTACTGAGAGCACGTGGCAAGTGAGGACAAAGCAGGACTGTCTCAGGGTTTTGTCAAAGAAAACCAGAGCTGGACACACATCACAGCAGTAGAGACAGATTCAGATCAGGAGCTCCTGCAACGGGGAGAAGAAAGCTTAGTGTAGACCTGGGCCCAACTTCACATACAGTGTGACAAGTGGGGACTTACAGCAGGTGGGGTCAGTGGATGGAAAGCTGCTAAGAGGAAACATCAGGGGGATTCTGGTGGGGTGATCCAACATTGCCTGGGTGGCTGAGGGGTGAAGAACCCTATTGGGTATCAAGAGTGATCAGATATGGAGGGTGGAGGTTCTCGATTAACCACCTTAGCAGAATTCTTTCTAAAATTGGGCCCAACTCAAGTCTGCTCAAGGAGAGAGCCCTGTCACTGAGCATAGGTGCCAGAATCAGCTCTTTCCCCGAAAGGGAAGGGAATCCTGCAAATATGTGGGGAGCTTTGAATTTCCCATGGACTTTCAGGGCCACGTGTCCCTGTTTCTCATAAGTAATGAGGGATAGGCCCAACTGAATGCTGCCTGCTGCTATTTGGCAGAAGAGGAGATGAGGGAAAAGCCAGGAAGGGAGAGAGGAGCTGAGACATGCAAGGGGTGGGGGCATCTGTGAGGTTCAGAACGGAGCCTTCCAGAATGTGGGTCCAGGAGGTCATACTGGGTGGGATGGTGTCCTCCCAAGTTCACATCCACCCAGAACCTCAGAATGTGACTGTCCAGTTGACTCTCAACGCAGGTTTGAACTGTGTGGGGTCCATTATACATGGGTTTTAAAAAATAAATACAGTACTTTCAGCGTATTTTTTCTTATGATTTTCTTAATAACACTTTATTTCCTGTAGCTTACTTTATTGTAGAAGACAGTACAGAATACATATAGCATACAAAATATGTGTTAATTGATTTAATCAGTAAGGCTTCTGGCCAACAGTCGGCTATTAGTTAAGTTTTTGGGGAGTCAAAAGTTTACACTGATTTTTGACTGCACAGAGGGTCAGCACAGGTTCTGGGGTTTGGGGACAGGCCTATTTGTGGTTTTCACCGTATCTTTCCCCTCCTGCAGTTTTGCCCATAAACCTGCACTTTTGCCAAGAGGAGAAGATGGCTGCTGGGTGCCTGCTCCCCTGGCCCCAGGTGAGTGGAAACTTCCTCTTATCCTAAAAAGCATCCAGTGTGTCCGGAGGGAACATATATAACAGAAATAAGGTCCTTGTTAGAGAAGGGAGCCCCCTTGCTATGTAGAAAAGGAGAGAGAATTCCCATGAGTGTCTGGGCCCAGGTTCTCATGCTTGTCAGCACAAGGAATGACATGAACTATATCCAGCAACACCTTTCCCTACAAGAGACCTGTGCTTCATTCCTAGGGCTGGGAGCATCTCTAAAACCTGAAGATCTGGCACCTTTCCCCAAAGAGCGGGGAAGGCTGCCCAGGAAAGCACCATCATCTTTACTTAAAAAAATGTTTAATTGTGGTGAAATACATATAACATTGTTAAGTGTACAATTCAGTGGCATTCAGCACATTCACACTGTTCTGCAGCCATCACCACCAGCCATCTCCTAAACTTTCTCATCTTTCCAAACTGAAACTCTGTCCGAATTTAATGCTGCCTCCCCCTCCCTACCCCTAGGCCCTGGCTCCCACCATCTACTTTTTGTCTCTATGGATCCAACTTCTCTAGGGACCTCCCATGAATGCAGTCACACAGTATTTGTCCTTTTGTGTTTGGCTTATTTCACTCAGCATGGTATCCTCAAGGTTCATCTACATCATACCAGCAGGTATCAGAATGTCCTTTTTATTTTTATTTTTTATTGACTTGAGAGAGAGAGGAAGGGGGAGAGAGCAAGAGAAAGAGAGAGAAAAACATTGATTTGCTGTTCTATATATATGTTTTTTGGTTAATCCTCACCTGAGGATATTTTTTTCCATTGATTTTTAGAGAGAGTGGAAGGGAGGGAGGGAGGGAGGGAGGAGGAGAGAGAGAGAAACATCAATGTGAGAGAGACACATCGATTGGTTGCCTCCCGCAGGAGTCCCACCTGGGGCCGGGGATTGAACCGGCAACCCAGGCATGTGCCCTTAACTGGGAATCGAACCCAGGACCTTCAGTGTACGGGCTGAGGCTCTATCCACTGAGCCAAACTGGCCAGGGCTGTTCCTCCCATTCATACATCATTAGTTGATTCTTATTTGTGCCCTGACTGAGGACTGAGCCCATGACCTTGGCATATCAGGATACCAGACCAGGTTCTCAGAATGTCCTTCCTTTTAAAGGCTGAATAAGACTTTTAAGGGCTGGGGACAGCTGCGTTTAATAGTGAAACTGCCTTACTAAGGCATGTCTATCGGAAGGGTAAGGGGGAATAGCAGCTCTCAGGCAGTTGGGACAGATCTCTCAGGAGTGGGTGGACAGGGTCCCCTCCCTTCCCCTCCCCTCCCCTCCCCTGCAGCTTTGAGTGGCCGCCACAAGTTCAGGAACAAGTTCAGGAACTCAATTGGTCTCCTCAACAGAAATACAGAGCTGTCAGAGGGGAGGGGGGTTGGGGTCTGGGTGAAAAGGTGAAGGAATTAAGCAAAAGAAACAACTCATAGACACAAACAACAATATGGTGATTATCAGAGGGAAAGACGGGTGGGGCGGTAGAAGAAGGGAAAGGGGGGATAAATGGTGATGGAAGGAGACTGGCCATGCGGTAGTAAATACACAATACAATATACAGATGATGTATCATAGAATTGTACTCCTGAAATGTATATAATTTTATTAACCATGTCACCCCAATAAATTCAATAAAAAATTTAAAGAAAAAGAGAAATACAGAGCTGATTAAAAGCAGAGTTTCAGGTGGTCCCCTTGGCGAGCAAGCCCTTCTCTACGAATGTTTGTGAGTGACCCAGATGATCCAGCTAGCATCCAGGACGTTCTCATAGGGCCTCCTGGAGTGTTGTCCTAGATCTGCACTGTCCCTGAGTCAAAGTCCTGGTCATCGTGCCCGTACCCGCTGTCAGGTCAGCTTGGCCCTGAGGCTGAAGCAGTCCATGGGACACTGTCAGGTTCTAGCTTGGAGCCGGTACAGGTGGTCAGGCTCTGTGACTTCAGGATTCCCAACAGAGCCCACGCGTGTCTTTCAGCAGCAGCAAAGCAGAGAGGCTTGCAAAGCCAGACAGCAGGCCCTTCTTGTCTGTCTCAGGGCCCACATGGACCCACTCAAGCTGGCACAGGAAATCTGCCTCCAGTTATCACACATCTGAATTCATAGGAGCTTATTTGCAGCTCAGATCTGTGTCTTTAAAATGCCAAATCCAGAGACTGTCTTTTCATATTGTCTGAGACTCCGATAGGTATGAATCCTAGTAAAAATCATGAATGATAGTCATTTTGTTTTAATATTTAAAGAGTTTACATTTTAACCTGCCCACTGGGCAGCAAACAGCAAAGAAGTTGTGTCCCGCTAACACTTTTTTTTTCTATCGCCCCGAATGGTATGATCTATTAGGAAATAATACATATTTATATCATTATAATCTATATTATAATATAATTAAACATATGTAATAAATATAAAACTATAATATTTCATAGTAATTTTATTATACATCGTATCCAATAGTCACAAACCATTATAACTTTTTTCCTTTTTATTTACTTGCAAATTGACTCAAACCCTTGCAGTGAGTGACTTTAGGGTTAACACTAAAGCGCCTGGGAAGAAATGAGGCCAGCTGGAATGAGGCCAGTGGGGGAGGTTGCAGCTGCAGCTGGCCTGAGAACAGGCTGCTTTTTTTCTAATTTATATAAAATGTGTTGCCACCTGGGAACTAATTTAACTCTTTTTCCTCCTGCCGGTGAGTGAGCAAGAGAAATGTTGAATATTTTGGGTCTACTTCAAAGTTCACCTTTGGGAGTGTTTGAGCCCTTTCTCCTCCCACCTGGAGGAGAGAAAAAAACCAAAGACATCACCAGAACTGTGCTTTTTTTTTTTTTTTTTAAATCCTCCCACTTCAGCCCAGAATGGCCAGAACAACCAGGGGATCTAACATACCCACCTTCCTGGAGGTGGATCTCTCATTTTCAAATTCCGTAGGTAATTTTTACCTTTGGAGACAGCGCCCAGCTGCCGATTCATATCACCGATACCACAAAAGCCAGCCAGGCCCCAAATATTGGCCATACTCTCCCTCTTTACCCCTCCTTTTCCCGAACAATGCTCCCACCATATTTCAGTGAGTCAGTGGCGGGGTAGCAAAAATCCCACTTCTTGCTCCCTCTGTGTCTTGTAACGTGCATCTCCAAGCTCGGCAGCAGAGAGAACCTGTCTCTGCCAAGCTCAAGTTTGGAATAAGGGTCCATTTGGTCGCACAGGATTGCTAGGTATGGTTTCTAGGTTCTCTGACTTTATCAATAACAGATGCCTCACCAGCATGAACTAATTAGCCCTCACCACAGCCTTGTGAGGGTGAAATGGTTCTGCCCATTGGGCAGATGAGGAGGCCATTTCCTGGGAAGGCCAGTAATATACCTAATTGTCCCCTACCCATGGTGTGGCATAGTCACAGACCTACAGATTTTTAGAATAAGCCGGGTAAGATTCTCATGGGGAAATGGCATACTTACAGATTTAGAATCACCAGTTCTATAAGAAATGGGCAAATGTTTCCCTCAGACCTGTGTGTTGGTCATCCTTGCTGTGTTAACAGTGGGCCCAAGGTCTGTACGTCCCTATGATTGTAAGGCAAAGACCACCACCCACAAGATGCTAGTAGACAGAGTCTGACTTCTGGACTTTGCACCCTGCTGCATCTGACTCCCTGGTGCCACCATCCTCAGCCCCCCTCCTGTAAACAACATGGGTGAGGCTGTTGCTTCTTGAGCAGATCTGATGTGATCTTTTAGGAACCAGTGACCTTCCAAGATGTGGCCATGGACTTCTCCCAGGAGGAATGGGAGTTGCTGGATGGTGCTCAGAGGAAGCTCTACAGAGAGGTGATGCTGGAGACCTGCAGGAACCTGGCCTCACTGGGTAAGGACAGCGTTATTTCCTTGCTCAGCAGGTCACACTTATTTAGCATCTACCAACACAATAACCTGATTTCTTCAGTACTGTAAGTCCTCATTTACTGTCATCAATATGTCCTTGGAACTGTGGCAAAATGACAAAACCAGTTTTACACAGGCTAATTGATATAAACCAGAGTTAAGTTCCTACAGCATCTCATCAATGTTACGAGGACCCGTTGTACATTACAGCCAGAGTTGCTGTTGAAATTCATAGCTTAGCTTAGGCGTTGATAATGTCTCTGATTCCTCTTGAGTACAGAGTCAAGGTATTTGTACTTTTTCTGCTCAAGTGAAGAGCCATAAGTTAAAAAACCATTTTTGTGGTAAAATATATGTAACCTATATGTAAAATATATGTAAAAATGTGCCTTTTTAATCGTTTTTAAGAGTACAATTTAGTTGCAATAATTACATTCACAATGTTGTATAACCATCAGCACTGTTTCCATCACCTCAAACAGATACCCCATACCCATTAAACACTAACTCCCTTTCCCCCTCCCCCAGTACCTGACACCCACCATCTACTTCCTGTCTCTACGGATCTGACTCCTCTAGGGACCTCCTATGAGTGGAATCACACAGTATTTGCCCTTTTGTGTCTGGCTGATTTCACTGAGCATAATGTCCTCAAGGTTCATCCACCTGTAGCAGGTATCAGGATTTCCTTCCTTTTTAAGGCAGAATAATATTCCCTTGTATGAATGAACCACATTTTGTTTATCTGTTCATCTGTTGATGGACACTTGGGTTGCTTCTATCTTTTGACTATTGTGAGTCTGGAGGTGCAAATACTTCTTTGAGTTCCTGCTTTCAATTCTTTTGTGTCCATACCCATAAGTAGAATTGCTGGGGCATATGATAACTTTATGTTTAACTTTTTTAAAAACAACTGATTGTATTTATTATTTTTCTTTCTTGCTTTTTTTTTCTTTTTTGCTCAATCCCTTCACCACCACCCCAACACTACCCCCCTCACCCCCCCACTGTCAGCCTGCTCTCCATCTATGAGTCTGTCTCTATTTTGCTTGTTAGTTCAGTTTGTTCATTAGATTCCACATATGAGTGAAATCACATGGTACTTGTCTTTCTCTGACTGGCTTATTTCACTTATGCAGTTGCAAAGTGTAAAATTTTCTTCCTTTATACAGCCAAGTAGTATTTCATTGTGTAAATGTACCATAGCTGTTTTATCCACTCATCTACCAATGGACACTTGGGCTGCTTCCATATCGTGGCTATTGTAAATAATGCTGCAGTGAACATAGGGGTTCATATATTCTTTTGATTTAATGTTTTGGGTTTCTTTGGATAAATTCTCAGAAGTGGAATTGCTGGGTCATAGGGCAGTTCCATTTTTAATTTTTTTAGGTACCTCCATACTGCTTTCCACAGTGGCTGCACCAGTCTGCATTCCCACCAATGGGGGAATGCAGACTGGTGCAGCCACTGTGGATTCCCTTTTCTCCACACCCTTACCAACACTTGTTGTTTGTTGATTTATTGATGATAGCCATTCTGATAGTCGTGAGGTGATATCTCATTGTGGTTTTAATTTGCATTTCTCTGATGATTCGTGATGTTGAGCATCTTTTCATATGTCTATTGGTCATTTGTACATCTTCTTGGGAGAAGTGTCTATTCAGGTCTTTTGCCCATTTTTTAATTGGATTGTTTGTCTTTTTTGGTGTTGAGTTGTATGAGTTCTTTATAAGTTTTGGATATTAACCCCTTACCAGATGTATTGGTGAATATGTTCTCTCATCCAGTGAGTTGTCTTTTCATTTTGTTGATGATTTCTTTTGCTGTGCAAAAAGTTTTTAGTTCAATATAGTCCCATTTGTTTCTTTTTCTTTTGTTTCCCTTGCCCAAGGAGATATATCAGAAAAAATATTGCTATGAGAAATGTCTGAGACTTTACTGCCTATGTTTTCTTCTAGGATTTTTATGGTTTTGAGTCTAACATATAAACTTTTAATCCATTTTGAGTTTATTCTGTGTGTGGTGTAAGAAGGTGGTCTAGTTTCATTTTTTTTAACATATCTGTCCAATTTTCCCATCACCATTTATTGAATAGACTGTCTTTAACACAGTGTATGTTTTTGCCTCCTTAGTCAAATATTAACTGACCATAAATGTGTGGGTTTATTTCTGGACTCACTATTCTGTCCCATTGATCTATATGTCTGTTTTATGCCAGTACCATGCTGTTTTGATTACTATGAACTTGTAGTATAGTTTGATATCAGGTAGTGTGATTCCTCCAACTTTGTACTTCTTTCTCAAGATTGCTATTGCTTTTCAGAGTCTTTTGTGGTTCCACAAAAATTTTTGGAATATTTGTTCTAGTACTGTGAAATATGCCATTGGTATCTTGATAAGATTTGCATTGAACCTATAGTTTGCTTTGGATAGGATGGATATTTTAATGATGTAAATTCTTCCTATCCATGAACATGGTATATGCTTCCACTTATTTGCATCTTCTTCAGTTTCCTTCTTCAGTGTCTTATAATTTTCTGAGTATCTTTTACATCTTTTACATCCTTGGTTAAATTTATTCCTAGATATTTTATTCTTTTTGAAGCAATTGTGAATGGGATTTTTATTTTTAGTTTCCCTTTCTGATAGTTCACTATTGGCATATAAAAATGCAACTGATTTCGGGATATTTATTTTGTATCCTGCTAATAATGACTTTAAATGTAATTGGCTTAAATACTCCAATCAAAGGACATAAGGTAGCTGAATGGATACGAGAACAAGACCCATGTATATTCTGTCTTCAAGAGACCCACCTCAGAACAAAAGATGCACACAGACTAAAAGGAAAAGGATGGAAAAATATATTTCATGCAAATGGAAAGAAAAAAAGCTGTGATAGCAATAATTATATCTGACAAAATAGACTTTAAAACAAAGGCTATAGTAAGAGACAGAGAAGGACACTACATAATGATAAAGGGAGCAATCCAACAGGAGGACATAACCCTTGTAAACATTTATGTAGCCAACATAGGAGCCCCTACATATGTAAAGCAAATCTTGATGGACATAAAGGGAGAGATTGACAGTAATACAGTTATAGTGGGGGATTTTAACACCCCATTGACTTCAATGGATAGATCTTCCAGACAGAAAATCAATAAGGAGATGGTGGCCTTAAATGACACACTAGATCAAATGGATTTAATTGACATCTTCAGAGCATTTCACCCCAATTCAGCAGAATATACATTCTTTTCAAGTGCCCATGGAACGTTTTCTAGTATAGACCACATGTTAGAACACAAAACAAGTCTCAATAAATTTAAGAAGATTGAAATTATATCAAGCATTTTCTCTGACCATAATACTATGAAACTTGAAATCAATCACAAAAAGAAAACTGAAAAACACACAAAGACATGGAGACTAAATAGCATGTTACTAAACAATGAATGGGTTAACAATGAGATCAAGGAAGAAATCAAAAGATACCTTGAAACAAATGAAAATGAGAACAGAACAACCCAAATCTGTGGGGCACAGGGAAAGCAGTCCTAAAGAGGGAAATTCATAGCACTACAAGCCTATCTCAAGAAACAAGAAAAAACTCAATCTAACTTTACACTTAAAGGAACTTGAAAAACAACAACAAAGCAAGCCTACAGTGAGCAGAAGGAAGGAAATAATAAAGATCAGAGAAGAAATAAACAAAATAGAGTCTAAAAAAACCAACAATACAAAAGATCAATGAAACCAAGAGCTTGTTCTTTAAAAAGATCAACAAGATTGACAAACCTTTAACCAGACTCATTAAGAAAAAAAGAGAGAGAACCCAAATAAATAAAATCAGAAATGAAAGAGAAGCAACAACTGACACCAATGAAATACTAAGGATTGTAAGAAAATATGAACAACTATATGCCAACAAATTGGACAATCTGAACAAAATGGATAATTTCCTAGAAACATACAATCTCCAAAATTAAATCAGGAAGAATCAGAGAATCTGAATAGATGGATCACAACTAGTGAAATTGATGCAGTAATGAAAAAACTCCCAACAAATAAAAACCCTGGACCAGATGGCTTTACAGGTGAATTTTACCAAACATTCAAAGAAGAATTAACACCTATTCTTAAACTATTCCAAAAATTTCAAGAGTAGGGAAGACTCCCAAGCTCATTTTACAAGGCCAGTGTTACCCTAATTCCAAAACCAGGAAAAGACATGACAAAGAAAGAAAATTATAGGCCAATATCTCTGGTGAACATAGATGCTAAAATCCTCAACAAAATATTAGCAAACCAAATCCAGCAATACGTTAAAAAGGTCATACACTGTGGCAAAGTGGGATTTATTTTTGGATGCAAGGTTGGTATAATATCTGCAAAACAATAAATGTGACACATCACATAAACAAAATGAAGGATAAAAACCACATGATCATATCAACAGATGCAGAAAAAGCATTTGATAAAATCCAGCACCCATTTATGTTAAAAACTCTCAGCAAAGTGGGAATAGAGGGAACATACCTCAATGTAATAAAGGCCATATATGACAAACCCAAAGCCAACATCATATTCAATGGGAAAAAACTACAAGCGTTCCCCTTAAGATCAGGAACAAGACAAGGATGTCTGCTCTCACCACTCTTATTCAACATAGTACTGGAAGTCCTAGGCACAGCAATCAGACAAGAAGAAAAAAATAAAAGGCATCCAAATTGGGAAGAAAGGAGTAAAACTGTCATTATTTGCAGATGAAATGATACCGTATGTAGAAAACCCTAAATATCCCATTAAAACTTCTAGAACTGATAAATGAATTCAGTAAAGTAGCAGAATTTTAATTTATTTTAGAGAGAGGAAGGAAGGGAGAGAGAGAAACATCGATGTGAGAAAGAAATACTGATTGGTTGCCTCCCGCACACACCCCAATGGGATCAAAACCACAACCTGGGTATATGCCCTGATCAGGAATTGAACCCACCATCTTTTGGTGTGTGGAATGATGCTCCAACCAACTGAACCGCACCAGCCAGGGCTATGTTTAGCTTTTTGAGGAAACCCAAGATGTTTTTCCACAACAGCTGCCCCATTTCACATTCCTACTAGCAATGTATGTGGGTTCCAATTTCTCCACATCCTCTCCAATGCTTATTTTCTGTTTTACTTTTCTTTAAAAAATTATAGCCATCCTAATAGGTATGAAGTGGTATCTGACTGTGGGTTTAAAAAAATTTAAATATTTAAACTACAGTTGACATTCAATATTGTATTAATTTCAGATGTATAGTGCTTAGACATTTATATAACTTATAAAGTGATCCCCTGTTAATTTTAGTACCCACCTAACACCATACATAGTTATTATTGACTATATTCTCTAGGCTGTACTTTTATATCCCCATGACTATTTTTTAACTGCCAGTTTTTACTTCTTAATGCCTTCATCTTTTTCACCCAATCCTTCAACCCCTCTCCCATCTGGCAATCATCAGTTCATTCTCTGTATCTAGGAGTTTGTTTCTGTTTTGTTTGTTTATTTTGTTCTTCAGATTCCACAGATACATGAAATCTAATCAGATTTGTCTTTCTCTGTCTGACTTATTTCATTTAGCATAATACCCTAAAGGTCCATTGCCGGAGCCCGCCGGCAGAGTCGAACGGTCCTGAGGAAGGGGTGAGGATGGAGAAAAGACAGACACAAAAAAGATGGGATCGGGAGGGCTGCAGCTCATTCCTGTTGCCAGCTGCCAGCCCCGAGTTTATTTTCCCAGCTCAATTTATACAGACACTGTTAATTTTGCTGAATAGCACCCTGCTCCACATTCCTACCCCTTGAGTAGTTCCTTCAAGGCCGTTGAATGCTATCTCAGAGTAAACACCCCGCCTCTTGCAGGAGCTCTGATGTTGGTACCTATCTTTGTTTCAGCTTCTAATGGGAACTTGCAGGGAGGATTGAGTCCTTGGCTTGGTATGTGGCTTGACTGTCCTTTAACCCTTCAGGCCGGGACCAATATCCTGATAAGCTTTTTTGGAACTTAAGGCTGCAAGCTAAATTAGTATTGCCTTGGTGCCTCAAGGTCTGGGTCAGGGAGCAGGAGAGCACATCGGCAGCTTACCCAGGCAGCTCCTCTGTGCCTGGGGCCACAGCAGCTCATCCACATCTCCCCGGAAGCAGGGGAGCACATCTGCAGCTCACCCAGGCAGCTCCTCTGTGCCTGGGGCCACAGCGGCTTCCCACAGTCCATCTATGTTGTTGCAAATGGAACGATTTCAGTCTTTTTATTTATTTATGGCTATGTACTCTTTCATTGTATATATGTACCTCATATTTATCCAATTGTCTATTGATGGACACTTAGGTTGCTTCCATACCTTGGTTGTTGTAAATAATGCTGCAATGAACATAGGGGTGCATGTGTCTTTTTGAATTAGTGTTAGCGTTTTGGATTTCTTCAGATAACTACCCAGAAGTGGAATTGCTGGGTCATATGGTAGTTCTATTTTTAATTTTCAGAGGAACCTCTGTACTATTTTCCATAGTGGCTGCACCAGTGCAACCCCACCAACAGTGCATGAAGGTTCCCTTTTCTCCATATACTCCCTAACACTCGTTATTTGTTGATAAGAGCCATTCTGACAGGTGTGAGTTGATATCTCATTGTGGTTTTGATTTGCATTTCCCTGATGATTAGTGATGTTGAGCATCTTTTTATATGTCTGTTGGCCATCTGTATATCCTCTTTATATGTCTACTCAGGTCCTCTTCCCATTTTTTAATTAGATTGTATTTTTGGTGTTTTATTGTGGTTTTGATTTGCATTTCCCTAGTGACTAATGATGATGAGCGTCTTTTCATGGGCTTGTTGGCCACTTATATGTCTTTGGGGAAAATTAAGATCCACAATTTTTTAATTTGAAGATAAAATTTTTAGCTGGTTGAGCGTGGTACTTCTCCAGCATGCTCTTGTCTTTTCAGAAGCCTTGAAGAACTAAGGTACTGATACAGCCATTGAGGATGGTACATTTTCCCCCAGCACAAACCTCTCAAGACACCAGTCTTTTCCTATGGACAGAATGTTCATTCTTTAGCTACAGGTGTCTTTCCACTTGGAGCAAGGAGAAGCCAGTTGATGGGGAGGGGGGAAAGAATTTCCCAAGCCCCCTGTTTAGGTGAGAACCAGGCAGACATGAGCCATTGGGATAGAGGCAGTGTGTTGAGGACTATAGGTCAGAGATCTCTCCACAGAGGCCCTAATTGTATAAGGAGAAGGCCTAGGCCCTTGGTGGCGCTTTCTCAGATACCTTCAGTTCATTCTCCAGCAAAGTTCTACTTTCACATACTACCTTCTCCCCTTCTTGGGTACAGACAAAAAAACATCCAGTTCCCTTCATGAAGCCATTCTACCTGTGCTTCTAGTTACATCTCTTTCCTTTCTCATTTCTTGATAATTCTTTCTCTCCATCATTCTTATTTCCTCTTTTTTTGTAGAGCAATTCCTTCTACATTTACATTTTCTCCATTTTCCACCATTTTTCAAACTTTTTACACTGCATCCTGTCCTCAGCACACCAGCTTACTGATCCATCTTGTTTTCTTATCCTTCCCCCATATTGACAGCTGATTCTTGAACATGAATCCACATGTGCCTTGTATATGTTGGAAGTCCTTCTGTTCCACCATTCTTAAGTTAGAAGTTTTATTCTTTTATTTTCTCCTCAATTAATTTCAGATTGGGAGACTGAACTGAAAAGCCAAGAGTCAATTTACAAGAAGGTGGTTTTAGGGGAAGAACCACATTGTGGTATGAATATTATAAAGCTCCCCAGAGAAGACTGGGGATGTGGTCAACTTGAGGAGAACCATGAAGACCCCCAGAGGCTTTTGAAGCAAGTGGCATACATCCAGTTAAAGGCATTTGCTCTAAAGAAGGCTACTGCCTGGTATGAATTTGGGGAAAACTGTAATTTGAGCACAGACCTTGTTTTATCACAAGGAAACCACTTCCCTGACTGACCTAGATATTGAGTGTTTGGTAGCTAATCCATTCTTAAACCATCATCAGGTGAGATGTACAGTTGAGAGACCCTGTGAATGTAATGAATGTGAGAAAGACCTCAGCCAAAATTGTCCCCTTATGAAACACAAAAGAGCTCAAACGTCCACAAATGCAGAAAGTGGAAAATCATTTAATCATAATATGACTCTTACAATACATAAAATTAATACGGTGAAGAAACCCTATGAATGTTTCCATTGTGGGAAAGTGTTTAACCAGAGGCATTCCCTGAGTGAACATCAGAGAATTCACACAGGAGAGAGACCATACAAATGTCAGGGATGTGAACGAACCTTTGCACACAGCTCAACCCTCACTCGACCTTTGAGAACTCATACTGGAGAGAAGCCCTATGCATGCAGTGAGTGTGCAAAAGCCTTCAACAGGATTCCATCTCTTACCCAACATCAGAGGATTCACACAGGGGAAAGGCCATATAAATGCAAAGACTGTGGAAAATCCTTCTGCCAGAGTTCTTACCTGATCTTGCACAAGCGAACACATACTGGTGAGAAGTCCTATGAATGTAATGAATGTGGGAAGGCCTTCAGCGATCGCTCATCACTTAATCAGCACCAGCGAACTCACACTGGTGAGAACCCCTATGAATGGAATCAGTGTGGAAGAGCTTTTAGCCAGAGATCCTCCCTGGTTAGGCACAAGAGAACTCACACTGGAGAGAAACCGTATAGCTGTAACAAGTGTGGAAAGGCATTCAGCCAGAGTTCTTCCCTTATTACACACCAGAAAACTCACACTAGTCAAAAAACCTATAAAATCATTGATTGTGGGAAAGCTTTCTATAAGAGCAGCCACTTTATTTCATTTTAGAGCTTGCTTGCTGACTTGTAAAATACTTTTTAGCACTCTATCAAATAAATACGGCTAGACATTGTCCTTCTGATGTCCTACTTGAAAAGAAGTAGGCTTATGCCACATTCTTAAATGAAAGCCCTGAGATCTAGATCTTAGAGGGGTCTTTTAATGAGGGAAATTGCCTCTGAGCTATGACCAATGAGTTCCACCTTCTTGGAAAAGATCAATAAATGGGAATACTAACATGGAATGGGATTTTGGTAAGAATGATCATATTCATTGAGTTGTTAAATCAAAAGGTATTCTGTTTCAACTTTTCTTTCAGTTGTCATTTTTAAATTTTTTTTAATCCCCACCCAAGGACATGCTTTTTTATTGATTTTTTTAGTGAGAGGGGAGAGAGAGAAACATCAATGTGAGAGAGAAACATTGATTTATTGCCTCCCTATTTGTATGCACCCTGAGTGGGGATCAAACCCACAACCTAGGTATGTGCCCTGATTTGAACCCACAACCTTTCGTTGCATGAGACAATGCTCCAACCAACTAAGCCACCCAGCCAGGGCTCAGCTGTCAATATTTTTGTTTCAATAATCTTTCACTATTTTACTTGATTATCCCAATGCTGTTGGTCATTTAGCAAGGTCCTGACTTGCCCCATGCACTACTATGGTAATGCAGAGTGTGTGTTAAGACAGAAAGTGTTTGGGGTGCAATGTGAAAAAGAGGGTGCAAAATAGTATATGTAGTTCTATCTGGAAAAGTTGAAATATATATAATACGTGGGCAAAGGCTGGACAGAAATGTGCAGAAATGAACAGGGTTTACTGGTCAGAGTTATGTGATTATGTGTGATTTTTTTTGCCTTTTGCTATTTCATTTGCTATTGCTGGAATCATTTTGACAATAATTAAAAATCAAATTACACTAAGGGATATTCAGTTTCATTGATCAGTTAGGAAGGATTGTGGATACCAAGATGATAGGGATATGGTGCAGAAGGACTTGGGACATGGAAAGGTGGGATGACCTTTGGTGGTCTGGGAGAAGTCCCAACTGTGAGGTGTACTTGCCAGGGTAGAGACTAAGAGTACTGATGCACATCATCATCATCACCATTATTCACATTTATTGGTGATTACTGTATTCCTGGTACCACTCCAGCACTTGTATGTGTTTCTTCACTTAATCTTCTCAACAACCTGTGAGATAGTAGCTCTTCCTATCCCAATGATACAGAAGGGGAAACAGAAATAAAGTAACTTGCCCAAAGTCTGTGGGGAGCCGGCTGGCGTCCCTCAGGGGGAGCCGCCCGGACGAGGTGCTGCCCTGGGGAATCACCAGGGGCCCGCCAGCCCTAGTGCTACCAAGAGAGAAATCTCTGGGGCATTGACCTAAGAGGTGGGCGGCGGAGCAAGCACTCGTCCCCCCACCTCACTCCAGTAGCTCAGCATGGGGCCAATATTAACAATGCTTGTATGAGGCAGTACCTTGATCCAGGAACCGTGGCTGGGTCAGAAGTGCAGCATGTCCCAGCTACCAATGATGTATGTACGAGAACAAAGGAACAGGGTGGAGAGAAGGAATGGGAACAAGGGTCACTAACCTCATGCGCTTCCGCATTCAGTGTGCTATAATTATGAGCTGAAAAATAAACTCGGGGCTCAGTCACGCACTGCAGCCCTCCCGATCCCATCCTGTCTCTCGTCTTTCTTTTCCAATCCTCACCCCCTCAATCAGGTTGCTGCTCGACTGCCGGCAGGCTCCGGCACAAGTCCACAACTAGAGCAATTAAGATGAGGAATTTAACCAGAGGAGAGCTTAAGTTTAGCTCTGTTTTCACATGTGGTTTTATGATTATTTTAAAAATATTTTGTTTTGTTTTGATTTCTCTGACTAAAAAGTATTTTGAGAGGATACATTTTTTTAAACTTCTGGATGTTTAAATGTCCTTCAGTTCCCAGTCAGGGCACATGCTTGATCCCCAGTAGGGGGTGTAAGGAGGCAGCCAATCAATGATTCTCTCATCATTGATGTTTCTATCTCTCTCTCTCCCTTCCTTGCTCTGAAATCAATAAAAGCTTATTTTTAAAAAATTAATCTTTATTTTTTATAATATTTTTCACTTCCTTTGAATTTCAACTTTTTAAATCCCCTGTATCTCTCTCTTTAACATACAGATGGATTTTGTTTTAGGATCCTTTTCTTTTGGTGGGATAAATGTTTTTAGCTTTAATTCTGTGAACATATTTTATGTCATTTTTCTTACTTTTGAAGTTTCTTTTCTCTTTATTTTTTACTGTATTATTTGTATTGGAGGCATGTATTTATTTTCTGATAATTTGGAAAATGTATTGTCTGCTTTAATTTCTTTTGGAATTTCATTTTATTACATTAAACATTACATTAAACTTATATATTGTGATTTAACATTAAGCAGTTTTTGAAGGATAAGAAGTCAAATTACAGAGCTTGTATAGGGTAATAACATATTTATAAAATCTGAATATAGGGACAGTAATGTTATATATATTTTATGGATCCATGTGTATGGCATGGCAGTAATAAACATCATGTTTGTGAATATGGTTTCCCTGGGAGGTGATAGAGAGGAATAGGATCCTGGAGGTGATAGGGCATTTTAATTCCGTCTATAATGTTTTTATTCCTTCAAGAAATCTGACAGAGTATAGTGAACTGGTGGATTTCAAACAGTTTAACAGTAGATACATGAGTATTCAAAATGTTATCCCCTGCATATTTATATGATTGAAAATTCTCATAAAATATTTTAAAGTGTCTCCCTTCTCACTGTGTTGCAGTTATCTTTAATATATGCCTTTGTGAGGAATGCAAAAATCAACTCTCCTAATATTTTTCAAATGGATACTTATGGTTTGGGATAAAATTTCAGAATATCATCTATCCAAAAAGTGCTATTTTTTTTAAAGAGAAAAAAAAATACAAAAAGTGCTGTATTTCAGACACAAAGACACAAAGGTGTTGTTCTCTGAAAAATGTCAGATCATTCCAAGATGCGTTGTAGTAGGAGCAGAGCCATGTTGAAAGAGCATATGGAATGTTCACAGTTGTCTCATGAAAGATGAGATTGGGAATAGGAAATATTTGTGCCACTTACTAGGTTACAGTTTCTCTGATTCAAACCCACTGTATGTTTCTTGTTATCACTGTAACAGATTACCACATATTTAATGACTTAAAACAACCAATTTATTTATATGTATAACAGTTCTGGAGGTTAGAGACTAAAATCAAGGTGTGAGTAGGGCTACATTCTTTCTGAAGGCTCTAGGGAGAATCATTTCTGGCCTTTTCCAGCTTCTAGAGGCACCACATCCCTAACTCTGACTTTCCTGCCTCCCTCTTATAAGGCTGCATGTGATGATATCTGGGTCACCCAAGGAATCCAGGGTCATCTCCATCTTAGGGTTCTTAACCCAATCCCATCTGCAAAGTCCCTTTTGCAATGGGAGGTGACATAGTCATAGTTTCTGGTGACTAGGATGTGCACACCTTTAGAGGACTGTTATCCTGCTGGTCACACTTACCCTTTCATACTTTGCTTTGTGATATGTGGTGGAAATGCTGCAAAACACGTTTCTATATTGCCAGTGACTTCCCATTAAGCTCTGCTAATGGGAGACTTGGAGGGAGGGTGGAAAGCTGGAGGAGGGAGAGGGTATTTGTTCTGTCCTTGCCCTCTCCTTCCTTGCATGTTTGAAACTGGCTTTGTTTTCTCTGTGCAGGAATAACATTCTAGCACGGTTCAAATACCTTTAATCACACTCCTTTCCCCTCATATTGCCATAATTGTTACTCTCTTCTCTTCTTTTGTCAAGAATTCAGAGACCAGACTGACTGGTGTGGCTCAGCGGTTGAGCATTGACCTAAGATCCAGGTGATTGTGGTTTGATTCCTGGTCAGGGCACATGCTCGGGTTGCAGGCTCGATCTCCAGTGGGGGGCATGAAGGAAGCAGCTGATCAGTGACTCTCTCATCATTGATGTTTCTATCTCTCTCCCTTTCCCCTCCTCTCTCTTAAATCAATAAAGACATTAAAAAAAAAAAAAAAGAATTCAGAGACCAGCCTCATTTTTCACCTTAATAAATGAATTGACATGCTTTTTAAGAGTGGTGCTCCTAGAATAAATCTCTGAACATATTATTGAAACCAGACAATGAGTGGGTCTGGGCTGCCTGTCACTACTTGAGCCAATTAAGCAGAGACAGTGTTGAATCATACATGAGCATTTATTCCAATAATGCCGGCAATATGGAAGAGCAGCAGGTCATCCACAAAAATCTGCTCTATCCCTCTCCTCCACCCCCCAATAAGCCAGCTGCTTATATTGGGTAGAAGGACAAAGATTACATGGGAAAGTAGGAATTACAGGCATGGGGCAGTAGGCAAGGTATAATAGTTACAGGGTAGACGCAGTGCGGGCTGGGGGTTACAGAAGGCCGGCACCTCCAGGACTCCATTGTTTCGGCAACAAGGTTGTTAATCTTTCCATGATTAGAGGCAGTTCTCCAAGCAGGAGAATGGACTGCATTCCAATGTTAACTCTCATGTCCCGGGGCAAACAACTCTCAGCCAGATCAGAATGTGCTTTCTCTAATCAGAACAATCACAGTCAACAGAGCATGATTAATATTTCTTATAACTATAGCTAGTCCCCACTATTCTATTTCTGCCCCTAACATTATGGCAAGCAGACATGAATGCTAGAGGTCCATGCCAGGGCGAATCTGAAGGCCGACCTCTAAATTCCATGCTGATTTGTTGAAACTTGGCAATAATTAGTAATGCATATTAAACAAAAATGCATATAATCATATTTTATTTTTAATAGTTTATAAATACAATGAGTAGTTTATTTTTAACTCAAAGCTTTAAAAAAATTTTTTAACTTTGTATTTATTGTTTTGAGAGAGAGAGAGAGAGAGAGAGAGAGCCATCGATTTGTTGTTCCACTTATTTATGCATTCATTGGTTGCTTCTTGTATGTGCCCTGACCTGGTATGGAACCTTCATCCTTGTTTTATCAGGCCAGCGCTCCATCCAACTGAGCTACCCAGCCAGGGCAACTTAAAGCTTTTTTGTTGTTGTTGTTGTTAATCCTTACCTGAGGATATTTTTCCCATTGACTTTTTAGAGGAGTGGAAGGAGAGGGAGGGGCAAGGAGAGAGCGAGAAGCATCGGATGTGAGAGAGACATATTGATTGGTTGCCTCCCGCATGCGCCCTGACAGCCCGGGGATCGAACCTGCAAGCCAGGTACATATCCTTGACTAGGAATTGAATCTGAGACCCTTGGGTACTTGGGCTATGTGTTAATCCTCTGAGCACTAATTTTTATAAAATCATATAAAACCTTTCTGGAAATCATAAAAGAGGAATTTTTTAAATTCTGTAAATAAAATGACAAGTGATATCAGAGTTTGTATAACCACTTAATCTCAAAGGAGAGAATGTTTTCTAGCAGGAGCATACCTCCATCTATTAAGTGTATTAATAGTTTTCAGGTCTATCCCAAATTTATATAAGCTTTTTTGCTGTTGTTTTATAGCAATTAAAACAGGAATTCAAATTCCTTAGGGATATCATAGCCTTTTAAGAAACTAAAACTTAAAAAATTGTGGTAAAATACACATAATATAGTTTACCATCTTAACCATTTTTAAGCATAGAGTTTAGTGACATTTGGTACTGTTGTGCAGTATTAGAGCAGTTTCATTTTCAAAATTCTCTTGGAATACACTGAAAACCTGATCTGACAGAAATTTCCTTGCAGCATAAATGCACTGAGAATTCTAACATCTCACCTATGGCTGTGCTGAGAGGAGCCCTGTGTGCAAGTTGAGGCTGCAGGGTCCCACTTTCTACTTTGGGGGCAAAGGAACCTGGGCCTCGGGTTGCTGACCTTAAGCCCCATTGTGAGGGCAAAGGGCAGGTCTTCCTGGTGTCAAAGGTCACAAGTAAAAACCTAAGGGAACCCTGCAGTGCACCCGGAGACGGCACTGTAGAGTGTCTTTGTTTTTAAACAAAGGGCACAGATCAACGGTGCTTCGCCGTGGGCAGAGCCCAGATCACGAGACCCTCTAGTTCTGTCCAGGCTCCGGACCGAGGGCGCTCTGAGAAGAAACTGAGTCAGAACTTGCCCGTCCAGGGGGAGGACTTGGACGCGGCTGTGGAGCTGCGGAGCTGTGGACAGATGCCCGACGCCCAGAGAGGGTTCTGCCCGGAGCCAACATCCTGAGCAGTGGCCAGCCAGGAGTGTCCCGACAGCCCGTCACTCAGTATGTAGGGGGCGGGGCCTGAGAGAACTGTCCAATCAGACAGACAGGGGTGGTGCACAGGGAACAATTGGGAATGCAGGGGCGGGGCCCGGAGGGCTGTCCAATCAGAGGCCCCAGGGGCGGGTCTCGGGAACTGCCCAGTCAGAGGCCCGTGAGCGTGGGCGTGCCCGAAACACCGTCCACTCAAGGCATCGGATCCCGAACAACGTCCAATCAGAGGTTCCGTGGAAGGGAGAGAGCGTGGACGTCGCTCTCGGCAGATCGCGGCGTCGGTGCGCACCTGCCCCGCGCAGCCCCAGGTGTCTGGTCCCGGCAGCTCACACCTCCCTGGGCGCCGGGAGGACGCCTTGAGAGCCGGGAGATGGTGAGTGCGCAGGGCCGGCCCGAGACTCGGAGGGGCTGGTTCGAACCGGCCGGAATCCGCTGGAAGCGGCCGCGAGCTGGGTCTCCCCGCGCGTCCCGGGGTTCCAGCCCGAGTCTCCTCCGTCGGCGCGGAGTGGAGTCCTGGCGTCCTGGCCGGCCCCTGTGCTAGGTGCGGGGTCTCAGGACCGCGGCGTGGGGTGACTGGGATGCACAGTGCTGCATCCACCCGGGGGGCGGGGAATATCAGCCCCTGGTCGGCTCCTCCCAGCCGACTGCCTGCGCATGGGCGGGGAGTCTGGGGAGACCTGCCTGGGGCCCCGAATTGGGACGAATCTCCTGGTAGGTGCTCGCTCCCTAACTGACCCCGACCCCAGTTTTTATTTCCTGGAGGGACGCAGTTGTCAGCTGACAGGACTCTGGTATTGAGGAGAAAAAGACGGAAATGAGTCGGGCCCCTGAAGGGAGAGAAACTAACCCAGAAAACTGGGGAAGCCCATCCAGTGAGGTGGATTAGTCACCTGCAAAGCCACTGCCCCTTCCTGGGTTTGTCGCCTTGAAAAGATGTACATATTCACTTATTGGGGCCTTGTTCTTCAGTACTTTTAATTAATAGAACAGAAAAGTTAAAATATTTCCTAAGAGGTGAATTTCGGAGTGGGAGGAGGGGGAAGAAAGTGTCTTTCATTCCATTTTGTTAAACCTTCTTCTGTTCCTTTGAATGATAAGAAATGGAATTCCAGGGCTTAACCTTGAAAGTCCTACTTGGGAAAAGACTGTCAGAGAAACAGAAAACCTCTTTTCTAATATAGCAGTAGAGAAATGAATACATTTCCACAGAGTGTAGTAGGTGAATTGGTGAATTATAGAGATTCACCAAAATATCAGTTATTTTCCTTGGCAGAGTGAAGAATTTGTGACAGTAGGTAAAACTGTTGTTTGCTATTATCTGTAATGTACTTTGCTTTAATCTACAATAAATTGATATTGTATATGGACGAGGTGGGAGTAAAGCATCTTTGTTAAATAATTTCTGTCATTGTTCTGCAATGGCTGCCCTGTTGTAAATTAATAGACAAGGACCCACTTCAAGTTGTTCCTTTCCATGGATTTAATTGTCCATTTCTCTACTAATTCCATCATGTCAGGATGACTAGGCTTTAAAATCCTTGCTTTGTGATAGGCAGGCCCCTGACTTGTTCTTTAGAATACTTTGGCTCTTTTTGGATATTTGTTCTTCCTGTTAGATTTGTAAAATTAGTATTTTTCAAGTCCTTAAAAAAATCTGGTTTGGGGATTTAATGGAATTTTAATGAAGACTTTAGATCTTTTTTTCAGAGGGTTGATATTTTGCTAACACCTAGTGCTCTATTTTGAGAACATGTGCCCTCTTTCCATTTAGTTCCTTTTATTTCATTATGTTTTAAAATTTTTCCATTTGGTTCTTTTTATAGCCTTCTTTAGACTTGTTTAGTACTAATTAAATTTGTTTTTTACCATAGTATGTGTTGTCATTTTAAAATGAATTTTCCAACTTGCTGTTAATTGAAAAGGTAATGAAATGTGTTTTTATATTGAATCTTTGTAGTGGATTCTTGTTAAAAAATCTTATTCTGTGATTAATTTTTTGTTCTTATGGTGTCGTAAACATACAATTGATAGAGGTGGGCATAAAGACAAGGTTTTTTTTCTTTTTTACTTCTTGTACATTTGTGCTCTGCTGAGTCTGGATTGACTTTCTAGTATGTTGACCATGAGGGGGTTCCTGAGCATACTTGATTTGTCCCTAATTTTTTGGATAAAACAACATCATACCATTTATATGTTTTTGTTATTTTTTAAATGTTTTATTAGCAGTTTTTCTTTATCAGGTTATTCATATTACCATATATTCTTCAATGGTAAGATGTATGACTGCTGAATATAATAAAATAGTTTTCAGCAATTCCTAAAATGATTACAGACAAATCATACATACTGATTTTAGAGTTTTCTGTTGTATAATATAACATCAGTTTAGGAAAATGCATATGACTTATGTACAGTTGACAGAAATATTAAAAAATAATCATCTGTGAAATGAAATTCAGCCCTAAATGTAGAACAAGCTTTCACACCAAATACCCCAGTTGAAATGAACCCCAATGGCAGGCCCCCTCACTCTGATATGTGTAACCAATATATATATATATATTTATATATTTATATATTTAAAGCAATTTAGGTATCAGTTTGCAGTGTTATTTTCAAAGGGTTATTTTATTGTCCTTTACTCTGCCTTACAACCAGTCATTCATATTTATCCATATCAATATTGATATATACACACATACACAAATACACACGTAAAGATATATATCTCCCTCCTGATCCCCTCACTGTACCACATTTTCCTTGATACTTACATTTGATTTGCTCATTTATTGTTTTCTTCCAAAAGAATTTAAGATCCACATGGTTCAGAATTTTGTTGTTCAGTGCTGTAGCCCTAGTGCTTGCAAGTACTAGGACCCCGTCACTGTCACCTAAATCAGTTTTACTAAATGAAGGAGCCAGAGGTAAGATCTTCAAACAAAGCAGTCTTTTACAAGATACAGGGCTTTGCCAGGGGAGGAGCATAAGGATGTAAGCATGGAATAGGATGCTTCTCTTGGCTCTTTTCCATAGTGCTGGGGAAAATCTAGCTTATTTCCTTATCACACTGGGAAATAACAGTCACAATAACAAAAAACTGTAAGGTGTATGTGAAAGACGTGCAAGTGGTAGGAGTTTGCATGATGTTGTTCATGGACTCTTCTGCGTTTCCTCTATTATGAACCAGTTTTAATAATGTCTGCTTTACAGAGTTATTATAAGACTATATGAGCTAATGTATGTGTATAAAGCTCTTTGCAAAGCTTTTTGCATATAAGGGGTGCTCAATGGCACTTTTTGAAGATGAATACTGTAGATTGTTAGAGTATTTGAGGGTTTCAAGCTGGGTGTGTTGGGAGTTTGTCTTAGTCAGCTGGGGCTGCTATAACAAAAATACCACAGACAGGTTTATAAACAGCAAACATTTATTTGTCACAGTTCTGGAGGCTGGGAAATCCAAGGTCAAGGTTCTGACAGATTTGGTGTTTGTTGAAGGCCAGCTTCCTGGTTCATAGACAGCAGTCTCTTCACTGTGTCACATGGTGGAAGGGTCCAGGAAGCTCACTTGGGTCTCTGTTATAAGGGCACTAATTCCATTCATGAGGGCTAGGAGGACTCCCAGGACTCAATCTGTAGTCATGCTCATGGCTGTGATTTATTGCAGTGCAAGAATAAAGCAGAGGCAGCCCAGAAGAAAGGTGCCTAAGGCCAAGTACTAAGAAGAACAGGTACAGGGTCCCCTCTAGTGACATCATAAAGCAGCCAGGTGTGACAGCCCATTTGAAATGCTTACCAGGGAAGTTAATGAGAGACTCAATTACAGGGTTTTTATTGGGGGCTGGTCATGTAAACACCTTTTTCCTGGCACGAACCAAGAATTCAGCCTCCTAGAAGGAGAGCAGGTTTTTGGCAGAAGCCTTATTGTTTGCATAAAAAGACAGAGGGAGCTACTTGTATCACGGTGCTGGGAACTCTCCCCACATCCATGTTCCCATATGCCAGCCAAGGGCCAATCTTGCAAGCAGAACTTTCTGAGGATAACGGCTCTCAGGCTTGTTCAGCTAACGCTTCTGCACAGTCTGTTTCCTTGGCCCTTGGACAAGGCATCTTTATAGCAAATTATTAGTAGGATCCTGTATAGTAGGGTGAGAAACACCTGCAGTATTGATTTTGGTTATGCCCTTTAGGTGTCCTGTACTTAGCCAGTTCAAGTAAATCCTATTAACCATAAAGCTCTTAGAAAGCCAGTGGGGTTAGGGTCTTCTTCCTCAAATATCTATATTTTGTTGTTTTGTTGTTGTTACCTTGCCTCAGGTATCAATTCCCACACAACACAAACTCTGGCCAGTAAATTGAAGCTCACCGGAGTGCCTTATCCACAGATAAGACAGTGTCCTGATAGGACACACCTGAGAAGTACAGTCCTAGAGGGCACACTTGGTCCCCTGGAAATGCAGAGTTTACAGTAGTCCGGGCACCCCAAGCAGAATATGCATTTGTCAGAAAGCCAGGTGAACAAGGCCCCCACTGTGGCCTCGGAGTTCCCAGTGCAGACCTAATGATTCAGTCCAGTCCTTGTTTCAAGGGACTGCCTGAGGTGGTCAGTTTCAGACAGTTTTGTTTATCCATGACAGAAGTTCATGCACCTCACTAGTGCAGACGACATCTGGAGGTGATCTGTCAGTGTGGAAGCTGACCGTTATGAAATGAGCAGCTTGATTTCAGATGGTCCCATTGGAGAACAAAGGCCTTTTTTTTTTTTTTAAATATATTTTATTGATTTCAGAGAAAGGAAGGGAGAGGGGGAGAGAGAGATAGAGACATCAATGATGAGAGAGTCGTCATTGATCGGCTGCCTGCTGCACGCCCCTGACTGGGGATCGAGCCCGCAACCCGGGCATGTGCCCTGACCGGGAATCAATCCACGATCTCCTGGCTCAACTGCTGAGCCACAGCTGGCCGGGTAGAACAAGGCCTTCTTCGTGGACAACTGTAAGTGACCCCGCCAGACGTGCTTGCATCCATGAGGTTTTCACAGTTTAGGGTCTCACAGAGAGCTGTTTTAAATCTTCCACATTCCCTGCTTTCAGGCCAGCACAGTAGGTACTGAGGCTGAAACAGCCCATCATGGATACTGTTGGGTTTTAGCTCACAGTCAAGTCCAGGAAGCATAAATGCAAGCTATGTGGATTCAAAATGCCATCAAACACTAGGGCTTTTTCTTCTCAGTAGCAAAGCTGAGACGCTGCAGGGGCAGACAGCTGTGTCCCAAGTGCAAATAGCAAATGAGACTGTCCTAAGCCCTTTTTGTTTTGTCTGTCTTAGAGTCCAAATTGACCCACTGCTAGACAGTTGTCAGCCTCTACAGATAATCAGAAATAGGTTTTTGTGAGATCTCTTCAGCAAACGAAACTTTTTAAAAAATATGTTTTTATTGATTTCAGAGAGAGAAAGGGAGAGGTGGAGAGAGATAGAAACACCAATGATGAGAGTCATTGATAGGCTGCCTCCTGCATGGCCCTGCTGGGGATTGAGTTCGAAACCCAGGCATGTGTCCTGACCAGAATCGAACCACAATCCCTCGATCATAGGTCTATGCCCAACCGCTGAGCCAAGCCGACCAGGCAAACAGGAAACTTGTACTCAAAATTCTGAAAGTCTACCTCGCATTTAGAGGTTGCCTGTCTTTTCATTTTGTTTCTCTCTTTTTTGAACCTAGGTAAAAATCATAGCAAATAGTCATCAGTTGTGGACACCTAATCTTGTTTCTGATACTTAGAGTTTCAATTTCAATCCATGTACCAGTGGCAAAAAGCAAAGAAGTTGTGTCTCACTAACACTTTTTTCTTTGTATGGATTTGGATGATCCCACTAGCACTGATAAAATTATAAGGATATACCATTTGCACCCATTTTTATCATACATGCAGATGCAGGAAGAAAAATTTTAAGTAAATATCTCCTCCCCCTTTATTTTCATTGCAAATTCACTCACACCCTGTATTAATTTCCTAGGGCTGCCATAGCAAGTGACCACAGTGTGGGCGGCTTAAAATTTTGTTCTCTCATAGTTCTGGAGGCTGGAAGTCCGAAATCAAGGTGTTGACAAGACTGTGCTCCCTCAGAACCCTAGTCCTGGGCACATTCCTTGTCTGTCACAGTTTCTAGGAGACCCAGGCATTCCTTGCTTGTGGCAGCACAGTTTCAACTTCTGTGTCCCTCTTCAGGTGGCCATTTTCCCTGTGCTTCTCTGTTCCACATATGGCATTTTCCTCTCTTTATTAGGACACTGGTCGAATTGGATTTGGTCCCATTGTAATGGCCTCATTGTAACTTGATTACACCTGCAAAGACCCTTTTTCCAAGTAAAATCACATTCACAGGTACCAGGGATTAGTATTTCAACATATCCTTTTTGGGGTGGAAACAGTTCAACCCATAACAAGGCCCTAGTTATAAATTCAGCATTTACCAGGATAAAAAAACAGCTGCCAGGGAAGGTCCTGGCCAGAATGCAAGGGTGGGTCAGGAGGCTGCAACGCCCCAGCTGGCCGAGTCTTTCCCTCCTCCCTTTCTCCTTAGTTTTGCTCCAACCTTGGGAAGTGATTTAACTTTTTTTTCTCTCCTGATGCAATGCAAACTTTTAGCACTTTTGGGGAACTCAGGGGTTGTTTTTTTCTCTTGCTAGGGAAGAGAACAAAAGTCAAAGGCCCCACCAGGGCTGCCTTTGTTATTTTTTGTTGTTTTTTCCTCCGCGTAGTCAGTGGGGCCAGAAGCAGCCTATCTACCTAATGAGCCAGCCCTCCTGCAGTCAGATCTGTCATTTTTAATATCTATCAACTTCCCATCAAACAACAGCTCAGCTGCCCTTTCATACCACGGACAGCTCCGTAGTCACCCAGGCACCGGAGTACCACCACCCCTCCCTCTTTGTCTTTCCTCTCCCCAGACAGTGCTTTCACCATATTTCAGTGGGTTGAGGTATTCTAGAAAATCTACTTCTCGTGTCTCAAAGACCACCCCCAAACCCTGTTAGTAGGAGTCTCCCAGCCTAGCATATAGTTGCATTCCTCACTATGATTCGTTATAACAAAAGGACATGGACAAATCAGCAAAGGGCAAAGACGTGTGGGGAGAAAGCCGCAGGAAACCAGGGGCGAGCTATTAAGAGGCCTTTCCCAGTGGAGTCACATGGAGTGTACCCAGCAATGAGTTATGACAACATACAAAATGTTGTCTACCAGGGAGGCTCATTAGACCCAGTGCCCGGGATTTTTACTGACAGTTGATGTGAGCATCGTCTGCTTAGCATGTCTCCAAACACCAGACTCCCAGAGGAAAGTAGGTGTTCAGCATCAGCACTGTTGTCTGCACAGTCAGTTTGGACAGTGTAAGGAATATCAGTTTGGGTGGTGTGATACCTCCCAAGTCCAACGTCCCAGAAACCAGCCAAGGCCAGCCATGCCTTAGTTGTTTCCAAGGATAGAAAGTTCAGGCCTGAGATGTCAACTCTTCTTCTACACAATGGGTAAGGGGACTTTAATAGAGGAAACACTACAGGTAACTGTCCTAATATCAATTCAGCTGACTTTGGACTCTCCTGTCATTCCCTGTACCAATAACAGGGATAGTCCTACTACGCTGTTAACTCTGTTGAATAGGTAAGTTCTGACAGCAGAATTGACTGAGTATTTTCTCTGTTTCCTGCTCATGGATGTCAGTGGGTTGATATTCTTTAAAGAAAAACAACAAAAACACACACACAAAAAAACAGGGCTTAAAGGAAGCACACAGCTCAGTGCTTCCTGTACTTAGGGGGTTGGCCTGACACGCTCATGGGCCCATTGGGAGAGGGATATGAAAATGAGAGACATTGGCAGTGCAGCCTCTAGGATGATTTGTGGGAAATCAGCTTTCTCCTGGAATTTGAGATGAGGAAGTATTTCCTTTGTAGGAAGGCACTGGTGAGTCTTTTATGTGTTTTTTAATCAAGGGCAGGTTTACTATTGGATGTTTTTACTTCAGTTAACTCCTTAACAAAAGGGACTATTAACCTTGTCCTCAAGGTCAGCAAGAGTACTCTTATGAGAAATCCAAAACACTAATTCAAAAAGACATATGCACACCTATGTTATTGCAGCTTTTGTTTACAATAGCCAAAATATGGAAGCAATCTAAGTGTCCATCAACAGATGAATGGATAAAGATGTGGCAAATATATACAATGGAATATTACTCAGCCATAAAAAAAATAATGAAATCGTACCATTTATGACCACATGGATGGACCTAGGGGGTAATATGCTAAGTGAAATAAGACAGAGAAAGACAAATACCATATGATCTCATATGTGGAATCTAAAAAAAATAAAACAAACAGACTCATAAATACAGAGAACAAACTGATAGTTGCCAGATGGGAAGGGGATTGGGGAGCTGGGTGAAAAGGAGATGAGATTAAGAAGTACAAGTTGGTAGTTATAAAATAGTCATGGGAATATAAAGTACAACATAGGGAACATAGTAATATTGTAATAACTATGTATGCTGTCAGGTGGGTACTTATCACTTAATAAGTTATATGTATGTCTAATCACTGTTGTACCTCTAAAACTAATATAGTATTGTATGTCAATTGTAATTGAAAAATAAAATTATTAAAATTAATTTTTTAAAGCCTTGTGGTACACAGTAGGGAAGGAGCTGAAGTTGTTTGTGTCAAGTGGGATTGGTGGGTCATAAAGTGCAAATATTTGTTTAATTTGCATAGCATTTCTTTAACTTCTCTAATGTGATCTGAACCCTTTGATTAAAGAATAAGTCTTGGTGTGGTCACAGTAAAAATGAAGAGGTAAATTCATAATGTTAGTGAAGCTCTAAATCAGGGATGGGGAACTTTTGTTCTGCCAAGGGCCATTTGGATATTTATAACATCATTATTGGGCCATACAAAATTATCAACTTAAAAATTAGCCTGCTGTATTTGGTCAAACATTTAATTAACTCACCCCTTATGTGATGACTGGAACTGCGTCTCTTTGGTGAGGCCTTGGCAGGGCCAAATGATTTCGCCCACAGGCTGGACGTTCCCTACCCCTGCTCTAAATCTCTTGAGGACTTGAGTGTGCACATGGAGTAAGAGGTTCTGATGACCAGTCATAGACTAGATGTTAGGTGACCACAGAATCTTGTTTGAACTTCCTGTAAATTGAGTCCAATTGCTCAGTCCTGTGAGTCTCACCCATTCTCCTGCACATATATTGGATGTTTCAGGACTCAGTGGTCTTTGAGGATGTGGCTGTGGACTTCTCCCAGGAGGAGTGGGCTTTGCTGGATGCTGCTCAGAAGGAGCTCTACAGAGATGTGATGCTGGAAAACTTCAGAAACTTAGCCTCTGTGGGTAAGAATGACATTGTTCCTTTACTTAGTCATTTAGAGAACATGCATTTCTTGCATATCAAGACTGTTCCCAGATTTGGAATGTGAAAAGGGAAGACATTGATTAATAAGAAAGACATAGTCATAACTGTCATAGAGCTAGAATCTAATACTTCCTCCATGAGAATGAGAATCTATGTATTAAACTGAGGTGTGTGTGTGTGTAAAAGTGTCGTCAGTGGATATGGGTTCCAGGGCTTTTTAGGAGGCCCAGTGAAGGTTGTTTTTGTAACTTTGTGAGAATTTTACTGTTTATTAAATTGCTTACCATTTTGACCTCTTATATTTGTTATTGATGAAGTCCTGACACAGCTAACCTCCTTAGTGCCTTTTTTTGCTAACAGGTACCTTTTTTTTCTTATAAGATTTGTTTCCTTTCTTTGCAGATGATGAGACTCAATTTAGGGCCAGTGGGTCAGTTTCTCAGCAGGATATTTATGGGAATAAAATATCCCAGGAAGATAAAATAGCAAAGTTCACCAGAAATTCTTGGGTTTCCATCTTAGGAAAAATATGGGAAGAACTTAGCTTTGAAGATCAGCACACAAACCAGGGGAGATATCCGAGGTGAGTTACATTCCAGGAGGAATCTTAGTATGTTATGAAATTTAAAAAGCAAACAAACCAAGAACCCACATAAGCCTAGATCAGATTTGTTTATTCACAGATTTTCACCAAAAAAAACACCCCAAAAAACACTTTATTTCAATGCGACATAGATAAGTGATAGAAAGAGTTGAAAAGAATTAGGAGAAAAGCCCATGTTTAAGAAACACTGTTTTCATAATGGCTGTGGTCAATACATTCAGTTCATTCCACTTTAAAACTAGTTACATAGGGTAGAAAACAACACATTCACTGAAATTAGTAAGAATGTAATCCTAAGATTAATAAATATTAAGAATTAAGTATTAATAAACTATTAATACATGTTTCTCATTTTTTAGCAGAAACCATATGGTGGAGAGACTCTGTGAAAGTAATGATCAATGTGGGGAAGGCTTCAGTCAGATTTCAAATCTTAATCTGTACCAGAAAACTCTTACTGAAGTAAAACAGTATGAATGCAGTGCATATGCAAAAGTCTTCATGCATCATTCATCCCTCAAGAGTCACATTGCTATTCACACTGAACACAAACCATATCAGTGTCAGGAATGTGGGCAGGCCTACAGTTGTTGTTCACACCTAAGAATGCATGTGAGAACCCACAAAGGAGAGAGGCCCTATGCATGTAACTTATGTGGAAAAACCTTTCCTCGTACTTCTTCCCTCAACCGGCATATAAGGATTCATACTGCAGAGAAAACCTGTGAATGTCAGCAATGTGGGAAAGCCTTCATTGATTTTTCAAGTCTTACTAGTCATGTGAGAATGCACACTGGAGAGAAGCCCTATAAATGTAAGGAGTGTGGGAAAGCCTTCAGTTATTCCTCAACTTTTCGAAGACACATGATAACACACACTGGAGAGAAGCCCTATAAATGTAAGGAATGTGGGGAAGTCTTCAGCTATTCCTCAACTTTTCGAAGACACATGATATCACACACTGGGGAGACACCACATAAATGTAAGGAATGTGGAGAAGCCTTCAGTTACTTCTCAGCTTTTCGAAGACACATGATATCACACACTGGAGAGAAACCCTATGAATGTAAACAGTGTGGGAAAGCCTTCATTTATCTCCAATCCTTTAGAAGGCATGAAAGGATTCACACTGGAGAGAAACCCTATGAATGCAAACAGTGCGGGAAAACCTTTATTTACCCCCAGTCATTCCGAAGGCATGAAAGGACTCACGGTGGAGAGAAACCCTATGAATGTCAGCAATGTGGGAAAGCATTCAGCCATCCCTCATCCTTTGAAGGACATATGAGAGTGCACACTGGAGAGAAACCTTACGAATGCACTCAATGTGGAAAAACTTTCAATTGGCCCATATCCTTACGAAAACATATGCGAACACACACTAAAGAGAAGCCCTATAAATGTAAACAATGCGGAAAAGCCTTCAATTTGTCTGCTTGTTTTCGAGAACATGTGAGAATGCATCCTGGAGACAAATCGTATGAATGCAAACTATGTGGGAAAGTGTTCTATTGTCACATATCCTTACAAAAACATATGAGAAGGCACACTGCCGAGAAACTCTATGAATGCAAGCAATGTGGGAAAGCTTTCAGTTGGCCGGAACTTTTGCAACAGCATGTAAGAACACACACTGCAGAGAAGCCTTATGAGTGTAAGGAATGTGGGAAAGTCTTCAAGTGGCCATCATCTTTACCAATACACATGAGAATGCACACTGGAGAGAAACCTTATGAATGTAAGCAGTGCGGGAAAGCCTTCAGCTGTTCCTCATCCTTAAGTAGGCATGTGAGAACACACACTGCAGAAAAACACTGCATGTGTAACGCAGAAAGTCCTGCAAGCGAACTCATGCCCAATGCTTCAGAAAATCCACACCAGGAGAGAAATCTTGTGAAAGTTGTAAATACGGTGTTGCCTTTATGAGTTCCTCATTATTAAAGTGGACCCATAGGTAGTGTATTTCCAGTTCTTTTGCAAATAAACATTTAGTTGAAAAATAACTCTCCAAGTACTCTTAGCTATAGTACAGAAAATTTGCATGTAGTGTTTTTTCTTACATTTCAGTAAACAAAACTTTTATCTTTAGTTTGTGGACTCATAGGTGATTTGAATTGTATTTTCAATATGTAAGTATTTTGTTCAATATATGTTTTAATTTCTTCTTTAAATGTCCTTTAAGGGGTCATTGGATGTTTCTTACTGGCTTAGTTGGCAGATACTGATACACCCATTATATGTTTTCTGCCTTTCTTATTGAGTCTTTATTTTTCACCAGAGGAGCCTTATGAAATGATGTGATTTGTTTTAAACTTTTTCCCGTCGCTGTTTGGTTTTGCTTGTGATCGAGAATTGGACAGCAGGCATTTACATAAGAGACACATGATATGACCATGAGATAGTTTGAGATAGTTCTTTTGGATTTTGCTATGTCAACATGGGTAATGTTGGGAACTACATTTTCCAGAATCTGTTCCCTTTATGATTCCATGTTCTAATTCACCAGTAGCCTAACATGGCATGAGATTTGGAAGGCAGAAGTGAACAAGCCATTACTAAGTTTTTGGAACCACTTTAAAGTGTGATAGAAAGATGCGTAGGGACTTCTAGATACCAGCTTTCAGCCCATTTCCCTGATTTCTTTGCTCTACTAATCAAGACTATCATCAAAAGAAATGACAAGTGCTTTATTTCCATTATTCTCAGAGGTATAGGCTTCCACAGATATCTCCATGAGCTCAGTATCAAGGATCCATACACTTGTGTGATCGGGTACCCACAATTTACTCACAATTTGGATTATCCTAGAAACTGTAAGGTATCCTCCAGACCGCTAATTCAGACTCATGGTTAGTGATCTCTAATGCTATGATTCACCCTCTTTAGATGTGAACATAGTTCATAAGGTCCAATTTGTATAGCAAACACTGGTCTTAATACTTTTATTGGTTCTCTGATCCTGCCTCCACCACAAAAACTACAGTGTTGTACCAAGATAAAACAACTTGGGACTTTGTGCTGACCCAGCGCTTTGTGAGAACAAATACCTTCTTCATCTATTAGCTTTTGGGAGATTTCTGTTACACAGAACTAAATGCAATTCTTTCATATGAGTTTAATTATGTGTCTTTAAAAACAATATGTATTTTATTTTCAAGGAAAATCAACTGGGTGGCTTGGGACAACAGAAAATTTTGTCTCATAGTTCTGAAGTTCAAAATCAAGGTGTTGGCAGGATCAGCTTCCTCTGAAAGTGCTAAGGAAGCATCTCTTCCATCTCTCTCCCAGCTTCTGGTAGTTCATTGGCTTGTAGCAGCTTAACTCTAATCTTCACGGTATTCTGTGTTGCATGCCTGTGTTTTCATATGGCATACTTTTTGTAATTACTGGGTTAGGGCCCACACTTCTCCAGTATGACTTCATCTTCTACAACAACCTTTTTTTCTCCCGATGACCCATCCAAGTCTCCAGAGCCACCCTGCCACTGCCAGTGCACACTTCTAACCCCTGCGCTCTGCATAGTCTCCACTCCAGTGGCCTGTGGGAGATGGAGATCTCAGTTTCCGCAGACGCCCAGCAGCCTTTTAAGAAATTCCCAGGAGATACCTAGGAGCTCAGCCTCAGTGGAAGTGTGCAAGGTAGGCCAGCAGGGCAGAGACTCAGAGGAGAGTCTGCACAAGGAAATATGGAAGCTCGGTCCCCACCACTCTTCGGACAGCTTCCTGTCCTCCTCCGGGTCCTGTAAGAGCCATCTCTGTAGCCCAAGTTCCTGAAGTGGCCACCCTCCATCTCCACAAGGACTTTGGGGCGGCTCCGGGCAGACAGAGCTAGCACATGGGAGACTGGCAGGCTGAGGGGACCCCAGTGCAGGACATGTTGGCTGCTAGTCAACAAGATCGACACCATCGCTGCCCTCACTGAGCAGAGAGACAAAGGGTCAAAGTGATTAGTATGTTTCTGGAAGAATCCTAAAGCTGCAGGGGTCATAATCCCGGCCACTTTGGGCCCCTGACACTTGCTTAGGTCCGCCTCCTGTGGTTCTGATGGAGAGAGGGTTCTTGTACTGTTCAAATTCAGGAAGTGTGACAGCACCATTCCAGGAGGAGAGATAAGTAAATGGTGTTGGTTAGTCCTAAGCAGATAGCTGTTGTAGGGTGGCCTGGCTGTGTGTCTCTGGGGGTATATCGGTGTCTCTGGAGACATCATCTGTGTGTGTCTTGAGTTTGTCTGTGTCTGGGTTTGCCCACATTTATGTCCCAGTGATAAAGTTTGTGTCACGCCACCCTGTGTGTGTGTTTGGGAGAGTTCAGGTGTTTGAGTGGTGGTTCCTTTGTCCTGGCAGGAGCGTTTGTGATTGTCCATGTGTCTTATTGCAGTCCTGTACTATTTCCCCAGGGTGTTTATTGAAACCCAAATATATAGTAAGCCCACACAGATTTACTTGTATTTAACTTTTAAGATGCACATAGTTATTCTAATATTAAATTCTAATGAAATAGTAAAAAGTTAGAAAGCTTCAGTTATTTTTAGTGGTTGTCATGAGCTCCAACATTTCAGAGTGTTTACATCTACAGTAACAGGATGGCACATGCTGGCAATAATTTGGACCTCTCCAGATTTCCTCACATTTAAATTTCTTTCCAAATACATTTATTTTTTTTACTCTAGTTTTCTAACCAACAGTGATTCCACCAGATGAGGTCTTGAATGGTAATTGTTATATGATGAAATTAAAAAAAAAAAATCTTTATTGATTTCAGAGAGAGGAAAAGAGGGAGAGAGAGAGAGACAGAAACAAATGATGAGAGAGTCATTGATCAAGCCCACAACCCGGGCATGTGCCCTGACCGGGAATCAAACCCCGATCGCCTGGATCCTAGGTTGATTCTCAACTGCTGAGCCACGCCCAGCCAGGCTATGATGAAATATTTTAGACTGTGATCATTGTTAGAGGAAAGGAACAGATGACACCAAAATGGCTCCCCGAAGTGGATATAATGGAATGTGGTGAACACAATGCCGTCTTGTTAGTTTTTCTGTAGCTCACTAAAGTGAAACTATGTGGCAGAGTGTGAATGCAATTTCCATTTCAATTTGAATTTACTCAATCTTCATATCATTTCATAAAGTTTTGTTTCCAGATATTTAAATTCACATCGTCTTGTTTGCATAAGTAAATGCAAGCACCCACTAACTGTTCCTTTGACCCTTTGTCCGTCTTGTAAATTCTCTTCCTTCTCTGACCCACCAGAGCACTAGTAGAGCAGAAAAGGAAGTGCTCAGAGCACAGATAACTTCTACTTAGTAAATGGCATGTTTTGCCTGGCATTAACTTGTCAATTGTGTAATTTTTAAATTTATTGTAACTGTGTAAATAACTATGAGTCCAATTTTGTTTATTACATGCTTTAATAAGCATTTATTTCATGCTCACAGGTTGGGCCGTTGACCTGGGTAGGTTACCCAAGTGACGGGTCTTCAGGTCCATTCTGGAAGCCAAACTGGCTCTGATCCAAGTATGTTCATTCTGGGGCTGAAGCTCGATTGATAGCACCTTGGGGAAGGTTCCTTATTATGGATAAGGAGGGAAGGTATAAAGGGAAGCCAAATGCACAAACACATTTCAGGTTTTTTCTCATAACATTTGCTCACATAGCATTGACTTAAGGAAGTCACATGGCTCAAAATGGAAAGGAGAAGAATTACAATCTTGCTACCTACCATGAGACAGTGTTAGGTTGTTTCACAGGGTACTGAAATTTTTGAGTCAATAATACAATCCACCACATATCTGAATACCCTTTTAGGAAAGAACTTGCATTACGCAGCATAATTATAGAGAATGTACTTAAAAAATACTTTCATAAGCAGTTCTCCATTGTTTATTTTTAATATTTTACTTTGGGAAAACAACCAGACAAAAAAGGCCACATAGGGTATCATTCAAATCATATAAAATAGCCAGAATAGGCAAATCCATTGAGACAAAGTATTTTGGTGGTGGCCATGAGGTAAGGTTATCATGGCTATTCTGGCCTTTAAATTTTTTTTTTTTAATGGAAATATAATTAACATATCCTAAGGGCCACACTTTTAGGTGTAAAATTCACTGGTTTTTGTACATTCACAAAGCCGTGGAATGTCACTATGAAATCTGAAAAAGGAAATACAGCCTTTTATATTTCAAAATTCTCTGGGGACTGACTGAAACTTGACCTGACAAATTTCCTTGCAGCAAAATGCGCACCTGAGAATTCTCACATCTCACATCCGTGACTGTGCTTGAGCCGAGTGCTGCCCAGGCCGGGGGTAGGGGTCCTACTACGCACAAAGGGCAGTGGATTGCTTACCTTAAACCCCAATGTGGGGACACGGATGGAGGACTGGGCCTCCCTATGTCAAAGGTGATAGGTCCAAACTAATGAGGTCCCTTCCTTACACTGGTGAGGTCACTGGAGAGTATTCCTAAGGGAACAGGTTGATGGTGACCATGCCAACTGGCCCACCACTGACCCAGGAGTTCACCAGGCCCTCCTTTTTCCTCCTGTTCCATTTCGGACACGGGGCGATCACAGGGAAAACTGAGTCAGGACTTCCCAAATCGGGAGGAGCCACTGGCCTGTGGGTTGAGGTAGGGTCAGCCGCACCCTGAGCGGGTTTTTTTCCTACACCTTTCTAATCCCTGGCCTGTACCGTCCCCAAGAACGGTGTGGCAGGGAAGGAGTGACGCCCAGAATCGGCATTCCTGCAGGATTTATCCCCGTGACCTGTGTGTCTGCGCATCACTGGGCCCGCGGGGACTGTAACTGACCTGTCAGGGAAGACGGCGTGGGGCTGGAGTACAACCTCGATTACTGGGCGGGGCTAAGAAACTGCGCACAAAAGGTCCACGGGGTGGTCTTCTGTCCAATCAGGGTTCTGTGCGTGCCCGAGACCTGTCCAATCAGAGTCCACGGTTTATTTAGAGTCCACGGACTAATCAGAAAGCGGGGCTTTGGAGAGCCGTCCAATCAGACTAGGGGGCGGGTGCATTCGCAGCCCGGGTAGTCTGCCGTGGTCCGCTCTCGCGAGCGGTCGCGTTTGTTTCTACCTACCCCTCGCGGCTCCACGTGACTGGCTCGCCGTCTCACCTGCCTGGGAGGAGGGGCTGCGAGGGGGACCCCGGGAGCCTGGAGCTTCGCCTCGGGATGGTGAGTGCGTGGGGTTGGGGTTCGAGACCGGGAGGGGCTGGTTCGACCGGCCGCAGCCGGCTGGAAGTGACTGCGGGGATGCTCTCCCGCGTCCCTCCGCTGGCTCCCCCTAGCCCCTCTCCCGGGGTCCGACCCTCGTCTCTTTTTCCCCTGCCGGCTGGGTTCCCGGCGTTCAGTCCCATCTCCATGTGGGGTCCCAGGGTTTCTCCCCCAACTCTGCGGCCGGGTTGGGGGACTGATGGAGGACGGACCACCATGATTGGGTGCACAGGGGCTGATGGGGGAGCCTGTAGGATCGGGACGAGGCTCCTCTCGTGGAGCTATGCCGGCATTTCAAATCAGACAGAAAAGTGCTTTTCTGGGTGAGGAGGGTGAGCAGGCCGGCGGTGTGGCGGGACCCCCCTCCGCATACTGAGCGAATTCTCAGCGGAGGGCGGCAGGGGCTTGCTCTGCACCTCAGTGCTTGTTCAGGTGGGGGCGAAGGGGATGTGTGTGGGGAGGGCTCCAAACTCGAGGTACCGTGGGGAGGACAGAAGGCTGAGCAAAAATGGGAAATTGTTTAAAAAAAAAAAAAGAAAAAAGAAAAAGCCTGGCCGGGCGTGACTCAGCGGTTGAGCATCGACCTGGGATCCAGGAGATCTCAGTTGATTCCCGGTCAGGGCACAGGCCCGGTTTGCTGGCTCAATCCCTGATAGGAGGCGTGCAGGAGGCAGCCGATCAATGACGACTCTCTCATCATTACTGTTTCACCTCTCTCTCTCCCTCTCCCTTCCTCTCTCTGAAATCAATATATTTAAAGAGAAATTGGGAATACTTGGACAAGGCTGTGGAATATGAAAAATCCAGGCTTTTTAAGGAGAGACTTTAATTTAAAAGAACTGTTGCAAAGGGTGGGAGAGAAGAGACGGTCACATTTGGGGCAGGACTGTGCTGTAGGGTAAACTCTCTGTCCGGGTGATCTGCAAGTGTCTCAAGAGCTGGACGAAAAGAGTTTTGCTTTTATAGAGAGGAGTTCACAGAACTAGGAAAGGCCAGGTGTGGTTGAGATGGCAGGTCCTCAGGTCAGTGTGTTCTCAGTACGGGCCCTCCCCTGGCTGGGTGAAGGTGGGTTAAAGTTCAGTGGTCTGGCAGAAGAGGGGAAGCTGAACCACGTCTGGCCAACAAGCATTTGCTATGCTTGGTTAGTGGTGATAAGCAGTTCATCTAATCAATGATGACACAGAATGGGGATTTGGTTGGTTTCTCGTCCAGCTTTGTCATGGGTAAGCAAGGAGAGGAGGGGTTCTTGCAGTGTGTCCTGTTCCAGAGCAAATGGATGAAGGTTTCCTTTCACCTCCATCAATGTTTCCAAGAACACAGGTGTCCAGCTCAGTGAGCACTGAGAGCTTTCTGTTATAACAGTCTCAGGGTTCAACAGAGATAAAATGACTGAAGTTTTTTGTCTGCTTTTCTTTTTTTCACCTAAGTGAGGGTGGTATCTCAAGCCTATGGCCTGTCTTGCTGATTTATGTTATTCCCAGCTGAACAGGAGATGCCCTAAGGAAATATGTCTCAATACAGAAAATATGTTGTCCTCCATTATTAGTTTGGGGAAATGCAAAAAGTTCCACACTTTCATGTGAGGTGAGTAGAGATATGGATTAAAATGTTCATAAAGCCCTGGCCAGTGTGGCTCAGTGGTTAGAGTGTCAGCCCTCTCACTGAAGGGTCTCGAATTCCATTCCCGGTCAAGGGCATATACCTGGGTTGCAGGCTTGATCCCTGGCCCTGGTCTGGGCTCGGGGGGAAGGCAACCGATCCATGTGTCTCTCTCATATCAATATTTCTCTTGCCCATTCTCCCTCCCTCCCTTCCACTCTCTTTAAAAAATCAGTGGAAAAAATATCCTTGAGTAAGGATTAAATATGTATATAGATATATATTTATAAAAATTTTAGTAACTTTTCTATTCAGGGTGCAGAGTTTGTGATCCTGTCCCACTTCCTGTTAATAGCTGGTCTTTAGAGATTAATGGAAGTGTGACCGGTGAAACTGACATGTGTTTCAGTTCTGATTAGTTGATTTACAATTTGTTATCATGACAGTAATAATGAACTGGCACTTGTTTTCTGAGATACGCAGTTTCCAGTTGTTTAAATCCATAATAGTGTCCTAGAATTTCCCCCTGCCAGTTTATCCTGGAACACAGGTGAAAGCAGTGGTTCTGTGGGGTCTCATTCACACACTGGAGCAGTTTTTTTCTCATTTAAGTGACCCATGATGCTTGAAGCAGATGCTTCCCCTGGGTGGGTACAAGCTGCTCCCAAAGCTGGTCCTGCATGGGAGATAAACGGAGGTGCAGTGGGGTCTTACTGGGCACCTCCCTCTAGAGGTGGCCTCCAGCCCCCAGAACCACCCAGAAGGAGCTGTTGGTGCCCAGAGAAGCTACAGAGCCTGGGAAGGGGAGACTCACTGCACATGGGCTAGAGCGGCTTGTCCTGAGGTGTACTGTGGATGCCTTGGGGCCGTATCTAAACCGTTGGTTTGATTTTTGCATTAACATTTAATAATAATAATACAAATAGTACACTCACTGCCTACGTGAATAGCTTGACCCTGGGCAGTTGTCAGCCTTACCCCATCTTCCATGTGCTTCTGCCGTGTCTCATCTTGCTCCTGCTGCCAGGATGACTGCTGTTCTGAGTATGTTATTTTTTATATCTTTACTATTTCTTAATCATCTCCAAGCAGTGTGTTGTTTGCTTTTGCCTCTTAAATTTCCAGCAAGTGAATGTTAACATCAATAGACCATTATTTTTACATAGAGGCTTCTCTGTGATTCTCACGCCCCACCCCCACTTCTGTTTCACAGGTGCTGGTGCCTGAGGTTCCATCACCCAGTTTACTCACCCATCCCACTGCTGTGTGGCCTGGGTTCTTTTAAGTATTTTTGACTAGTCAATAAATAGACAACAGGCGTTCTTGTTTTCATCTCCAAGTGGAAATTGCATCTTGAGATTGTACACTTAAGAGACAAATTGTGGAGTTGTAGATTATGGATAAGGTTGAATTTACTAGGAAATGGTGGAGGGTATGAATTGATACCCTCTCCCCATACCTTTTTTCCCTGCGTGATTGCCACCACTCAAGTTACCTAAGTTAACTTTTGTTTATCTAACGTATGGCCCAGGATCTTGTGGTGACATACGGTTTTTACTAATCACCACTGACTCTGAGCTTGTGGTGTTTCATCTTCAGTGAAACAGTTTTCAGTCATCTGGTCTCATTTTATTAATTTCTATCTATGTTCATTGATTTCTGATATTTTCTTAGATATTCTGAGCAGGAATCTTCTCGTGTGCAGATACTACACACATTTTCTCTGGAATGTGGCTTATCTTTCACTCTCTTTATTTTGTGCTGGTGAATGGAGTCCGTGCTAATAGAAATGAGTTTGTCATTTTCTTCCTTTATCACTTACTCTGTTTTTCCTTATATAAGAAAACTCTCTGTACTGGGAAGTCAGAGAACACTTGACTCTAACTTGGTCTGAAAGTGTCCTACTATTTAAATCTGCATCAAGTTGGTTATTTTACATGAAGTCAATAAGGACATTCATTGTCCCCTGTGGATAACCGTTTCTCATCCCCTGTGTGTTAAAATGTGTGTTGTTTCCTCCTGGGGCAAAAGATGCTCCTAGTGCTTTTATGGCTTAGGTAATTATAAGGATCCTAAGGACCTCTGTGCCTTAGGGGCAGTGTTCAGTGTATATATGTATATGTGTGTGTGTGTGTGTGTGTGTGTGTGTGTATCCTGTTATATCACAGACATACTTTAAAACTAAAAGAAAATTTGTAATAAATTGAAGGTTCTCATTTGAATTCATTTTAGTAGTCTAGGTTATCTTTTTTTTTCTATTGAATTTATTGGGGTGACTTTGGTTCACAAATATAGTCTAGGTTACTTAAAAAATTTTCTTTTAACTGCAGCTGCTAGTAATACAAAATCAATTGTGGTATTATTTTTATATTGCTTTGGACTTCTGGAAACTCACTAAAAATTGTAGTATCTGCTTATCTTCTGTTTTTTGTGCGGATCCTCCACAATAATACTTTGACCTGTGAATACAGGAATCTCTTTTGTTCTGCTATAATTCTTATGTTTTCTCTGGCTCTAGATGGGATCTCTACTAGGAATGAAGTGAGGGGTCTACTTCTTTTACCTCATTTTGGGGAAAAGAGTCTTACTTTCCATCATTTGTATGTTCTTTAATGAACATTTCTGTTCAATGTGTCCCTTAGGCTCTGCAGGTTCCCACCCATTCCTAAACTGCTACCGGTTCTCATGTGGCTGCACGTGGACTAGCATAAATATTTTTCTTCATTTATTCAGATGTTGTGACATTGTTCCTTTAAGGTGGTATTGTGACAAATTATAATTGATTTTGTAGTGTTTAATTGTAAAAGGCAGTGCATGTAGAAAATGCACAAGCAACTGCACAGCTACCTACACAACCTGAGTGAACATACATGTAAGGATGGCGAAGCCAAGTCCTGGACAAATCCCTCACACCAGACACCCCACTTGAAATGACTCCCACAGACAGCCCCCCTCTCTGGGTGAATTGTACGTGTGTGCACCCCTAAGTCAGTGTATTTTATTTCTGCACGTTTTCTTTTGAATGCACACAGCGTCGTCGTGTGTGTCCGATTGTGTGTCAGCTTTCTTTGGTTCGGTTTTGTTTTATTGCATGGAATGGCAGGTAATAAATATTGTTGCTCTGCAGTGTTCCCTGGTGGGACTATAACATTTTCATTTTTTTATTCTACTGCTAGTGGTCACATGGGTGGCTTCATGGTTTTCTGGTATGACAGATGTTTCTAACATTATTGGATGTCTTAGGCATTGAAATATCTTAAGCTTATCTTCCCAAAAGTTCCCACACTGGACTCTTGTGTCTCCCCCAGAGCCACATTCCCTTCTATTTATGGTTGTCCTTTTGGGGCTGGAACCGCCCCAGACCCACACCCAAAATGGGCTTGGATGTCAGGTGATGCCACGTGTACCATGAAGCTAAGAAAGTAGTTGGCAGTCTGGGGAGATCAGGGCAGGTTCTGAGCTTTAGCAGAGCCTCTATCCAGGTGGGGAAGAGGATCGGGCTAGGAGACCTGTTGCCATTCAGACCACAGGTCACATAAAAAATGGAGCCAACTTCATTATTAGAATTCACCAGTCACGCATGCTCTATGCCTGACATATACCACATCTCACTTAGTTTAATATGAGTTTGTCTGAGTGTGAATTTTAAAAGCCAGCTGCCCAAGAGAAATATTTTAGTGAAGGCCAGCAGGCCTGGAATCTGCTCCTCCCAGGGCACTGGAGAGAGAGAGGCAGGAAAATATGTAAGGACTCCGCCTGTGGTATAATGTTTCAGCACCAGTATTGCCTGGTTTAATGTGCTGTTTCATGAGTTACATATACAGATTTGTCATTGTCCCTCAGTGGTGAAAGAATTTGGATATGAATAAAGAGAAGGAGATATCAGAGCTGAGGGCAAGGAATGAATAAATGGGTTAGGTAATGAGGGAAATCCAGTACTACATTAATACCTGCAAAGCGGCTCAGAGCAAGAAGTGATGTCCTCTCCTAGTCATAGCAGGTGTCCAAAAGTGTAAGGCTGGGTGCTGCTGAGACCACGGCTGCTTTTTGAACCTGACAGAATGAAATGGAAGCCTGCAAATCTCAGTGCCTTCACTCTGAGAGACATGTTCATGTGATATGATGATGGACTAGATAGTAATGACTGAGTGAGATCCTGATAATGTGTCAGTATCTTTTGACTTTATGATTGTTTTGCTGTAAGGAATCTGTGTTAGAAGACCTGGGGTTTACTGTGATACTGTGATATAAGAAATTATATTGGGTCATTTGAATGACCAAAATACATTTGTCATAAGTATTTGGACCTGGTCTACAGTTCTTGAGTCACTCTCACAAAACCCTTAGAATTTCCAAAGAGTTGAGATAGGTAAAAAGTGTCGTTGGTTATGTTAATGAGGTGACTTTTAGACAACACCTGAAAATGGGGCTGGTTGCCAGTAGAGCCAATATGTGATAGAGGGTTGGAAGTTTCAGTCCCACCACCTGACTTTTAGGGAGAGGAGAGAGGCTGGAGATTGAGTTAAATTATCAATGACCCAAGATTTAACCAATCATGGCTATATTCGGAAGCCTCCGTAAAACCCCAAAGGAGAGGGTCTGGAGAGCTTCTGGGGTTGGTGAGCATGTGCAGATGTGAGGAGAGGGGTGCGCAGGGGAGGGCATGGGAACTCCACCCCCAGCCCCCATACCTTGCCTGTGCATCGCTTCCACCTGCTGTTCTGAGTTACAACCTTTTACACTAAACCAGTGGTCTAGGGAGTACTGAGTTGCGGTGAGTTCTATGAGCCTGTCCAGCAGATTCATCAGATTCAAGGAGAGGGGGTCGTGAGAACCTCCACTTTTACAGGCAGGCAGTCCTAAGCACAGCTGGCAACTTGGGCTTGAGACTGGCCTCTGAAGTGGGGCTGGGGTGGATGCGCAGCCTCTTAGGACTGAGCCATCAACCTGCTGCACCTGAAACCATCTCCCAGTAAATAGTGTGAGAATTGAGTTGAGTTCTTGGTGTTCTGAGAATTACTTTGTGGAGGTGTGGTATTCTGTCCCCCACAGAGAAATTGGAGCATCACAATACACTTTACATTTAGTGTACAAAATCTTATCCCACAAGTACTTTGTAAAATCTGCTCAAACTGCTTAATCTAAGAATTATCTGTGATTTTATTTCTTTTTCACAAGTTTGTTTATTTGCCCAAGTTCTGTTGTTTATGAATAAAATTGCCTTTAGTTTAAGGCATATATTTTAGTTTCTCTAAACCTATTTTTAAATGGCTTTAATTGAAATGTTTTTTAAAAAACTATAAAGTTCACCAGTTAAAAGTATAAAATGCACCAGTATTTCGTATATGTACAGAATTGTACCCCCCCATTTGAGCCATTTTTATCACCCCAAAGAAAACCTATGTCTACTGTTAGTCACTCCTCCTTTAGTCCCTCCACCCCCACGTCTGGTTCCTGGAAATTCATTCATCTACTTTCTTTTTCTGTAGAGGGGCTTCTTCTTTACATATCATGCATATGATTTCATACTATCTGTGGTCTTTTGTGAAGCTTGGTAATGTCCTTAAGGGCCATTGATTTGGTGGCATGAATCAATATTTCATTCCTCTTAGTTCCATATAATATTCTATTGTGTGAATGTCCCACATTTGCTTTTCCAAACCAGTTGATGGACTTGTGAGTTATTTTTATCTCTTACCAGACAAATATGCCAGGCACCGGGCCCTGGCCTGTGTCCGTGCCCACAATATCACTCCCATTTTGGGAGGGGTCTTGTCTCCGTCTGTCAGATAGGAGGGCTCTAGACCAGGCTCCTTAACGCTGTCTACACTCAAGGTGAGAGTTGTTCAGGTCAAGCAGCACTGGAAATCTCAGTGTTCACAAAATCCTCACATTCTGATTCCAGGTCTTGGAGCTGACAAGGAAATAACTTTTGAGCAACCCAAGTATCCCTTTCCATGTTGTCTCAATGATGATTTCCATATTTAGTCTTTAGCTTACCCCAGAATCTGCTCTATCTCAGTCAAAATTATTCTTTTCAACTGTCTGTGGATAAGTCCATATTAGTTGTTGCACTTTGCTTCCAGATTTCAAGTACTTACCATCACTGAATGTACTGCATTTGGTTTGCTTGCCTGTTGTCGTTTCCCCTGAGAGTGTGAGCTCAGGAGTCCAGGAATCGAATTGAAGTCCCTTACTGTCAGCCTCCCTTGTTTTCCCACATGCGTTGGTGAAGAGATACCTTTTGAAATAGAATCTGTGGGGTGTTTCAGAACTCAGTGGTCTTTGCGGATGTGGCTGTGAACTTCACCCCAGAAGAGTGGGCTTTGCTGGATCATTCTCAGAGGAAGCTCTACAGAGATGTGATGCTGGAGACCTGCAGGAACCTGGCCTCGGTGTGTAAGTATGACTTCATTATTTCCCTTGGATTTTAGAGAAGCCATGTTTCTTACAACTTTTATTTTCTATTGGGGCTAAAGAATGAAAATATGTTGAAAAAAGGACAGACACAGGTCAAGCATTCATGGACCTTACCTAGAGTCAAATAGCTTTTCCACGATAACAAAGTTTCATGTATTAATCTATTACTCTTGATCAAAAGCCTGAGGCTCCCTAATTTTATGTGTGAGCATCATTTCCAGTGTCACTTTGGGACCATGAGAGCAGCTTTATTGTTTTCCCCTTGAGAAAGTTACACTGTGGTTAATGCACATTTGATGTGGTAATTTTGCTGCCATTGAACTCACACTGAATGTCACTGACGCTGAAGATTATACTGTCAGCCCGTCTCAAGGGATGTGCGCTGCCCTCCACCCTCCCTGACGGGGAGTTGTGCACAAGCAGGGCAGCGGCCCTGCACTGTTTCATCTCCCAGCGTGGCCGGGATCCTGAAGAAAGGCTTCATCCAGGGCCCCTCTGCCAACACAAGGAGAGCAGGAACCAGTGGGAGGAACACATTCTAGATGAGGGAATGATATTTGGACATGTCCATCAGAACGTGACCCAATCTCCGTTTGAAAAGGATGACATTTATCATTTACCTGGCCTTTCTTTTGGACTTTTCATCCACCCTTAACCTCTTGGGTAGACTTTCTGTTCCTCCTCGTGTAAAGGGAGAATTTGGGCATGTACATTTTGCCCATTTCCTTTCTACTGCATTCTTCAAAATAATATTCATCTGAACATCAATCTCCATCTCTTTTGAAGTAGTTCTTAGTGGACAGGCTGCCATTTTAATACATTTTACCTGTTTTTGCTACAGTCCCACAAGCTGAGGTCCACTGTTTTTTTTTTAATTTGTTTTGGGTATTTTGTTCGCATGTAAATTCATCCTTATAAAAGTTATTTATATTTTGGATCAGTTTATGAAAATACACATATTGTCTGTTTTCTTTATTCCACCATTTCATTTCCATGAAATTAAAGTATTTTACCAATTATTGCAGATTGTTACACTCAAGTTAAAACCAGTGACTCTAGTTCTCAGAAGAATATTTTGGACAATGAAATACTCACTGAAGAGAAAACAGTAAGACTTACAAGAAATGATTTTTGGTCAGTTTTTGGTGAGAACCAGCTGCTTAATAACAGTGGAGATCAGCGTCTAACCCAGGAGATGCCTTTTGGGTGAGTCGCACTCTCACAGGAGGAAGGGGAATATCTGCATATTGTTAAACTAACTTTACATTTTTAAAACTATAATAATCTCACCAAATAATTATGTACTGGGAGAATTTTCACACACAACATTTTTCTAATGCGATGTAGATACTTAGCATCTATACAGAATTTGGTTGGAAGCAATGATGAGGAAATTTCAGATGTAAGAAACACTAAAAGTTTTGGCTTAATTTTACCTCAGCCAGAGCATTAAGTTTTTTCCATGATGTAAAAATGCAGATGTTGCCAAAAAACTTAGCCATTATAAATAGCAAGTATATAGTCAGAATAATCATTTACATCACCAACCAATTATTAATAGAGAAATCACTTATCATTCATTTCTAATCATGTATTTAATATTTTGAACAGAAATCATTTGCAGGAGGGTCTCTGTGGAACTAATGAAGCTAATCAATGTGGACACACACTGAACCGAATTACAAATCTCTCTGTGCATGAGACAGATTTGACTGGACTTCACCCCAGTGAATGCACTACATCTGGAAAAGTCTTCCTGGAATGTTCTTTCCTTCAGCATCAGGAAAGATCTCAAACTGGACACAAGCCTCACCCATGTGGGGAACATCAGCAAGCCTGCAGGTGTGTCTCACACCTAGGTACTCAGGTGGAAACAGACCCTGTAAAGAAACCCTACCAATGTCAGGATACTGGGGGTGTACCTAAGAGATACATGAACAACTTGAGCAGTAAAAAAATTCTTTTTGAGTGTGAGAAATGCGGAAAAGCTTTAAGTTGTTCCTCTTCCCTTCAAGATAATGTAAGGACGCACAGTGGAGGTAAATCCTATGAATGTAAGCAGTGTGGCAAAGTCTTCAGGTTTCCCTCATCCCTGAGAAAACATGTGAGAATTCAAACTGGAGAGAAAGCTACTGTGTGTAAGCACTGTGGCAAGGCTTTCAGTTGTTATCCCTCTTTTCAAAGACATATGGAAACACACAGTGGGGAGAAACCCTATGAATGTAAGCAGTGTGGAAAAGCCTTCAGGCGGTTGTCATCCCTACAAGAACATGCAAGAATCCACTCTGGAGAGAAACCCTATGTGTGTAAGGAATGTGGGAAAGCCTTCGGTTATCGCTGCAACCTTCAAGTACATGGTAGAATTCACAGTGGGGAGAAACCCTATGTATGTAAGGAGTGTGGGAAAGCCTTCAGTCAGCCAAGCTCTTTTAAAAATCATGTGAGAACACACAGTGAGGACAGACCCTATGAATGTAAGGAGTGTGGGAAAAGATTCAGGATTTCCACCCACATGCGAGAACACAAGAGAACACACACTACACAGAAACCCTATGAATGTAAGGAGTGTGGGAAAGCCTTTAGATGTCAAGCCTCCCTTCAAGTACATGCAAGAATGCACACTGGGGAGAAACCCTATAAATGTAAGAAGTGTGGGAATGCCTACATTTATTATTCATCTCTTCAAACTCATGTGAAAATGCACACTGGGGAGAAACCTTATGAATGCAAGGAGTGTGGGAAAGCTTTCAGTTGTCACTCCCACCTTCGAGAACACGTAAGAACACACACTGGGGAGAAACCCTATGAATGTAAGGAGTGTGGAAAAGCCTTCAGTTGTCACTCCCATCTTCGAGTACATGTGAGAATGCACACTGGGGAGAAACCCTATGAATGTAAGGAGTGTGGAAAAGCCTTCAGTTCTCACTCTCATCTTCGAGTACATCTGAGAACACACACTGGGGAGAAACCCTATGAATGTAAGGAGTGTGGGAGAGCTTTCAGTTATTCATCATCACTGCAGCGACACATGAGGAAGCACAGTCAAGACAAACCCTGTGAATAAGAGGAATGTGGGAAAGCCTCATCATGCCTCCCTTTGAGTACATGCAAGAATGCACACTGGGGAGAAACCCTAGTATACAAGGAGTGTGGGAAAGGATCAGTTCTCACCCCCGCCTTTGAGAACATGTGAGAATACACGCTGCAAAGTAAAACCTTATGAATGGAAAGAATATGCCAAAATCCTCAGTGTCTTAATTATTTAGTATGTGGAAACTCAGCAGGAAAGTAATCTTATAACTTATAAATATGCTCTTGCCTTCGTAAGTGCCTCTTCATTAATAGGGATCCTATTTCAGTTCTAGTTCATGTTCTTGATTGAAGATTCAATGACTAGGCTCCTATATCTCCCATCTTCTGTGCTACATATATTTTGTTTAAATAATTGTAAAATTATATATAATTAGTCTCATTTTTAATGCAATGTCTTTTTGATAGGTGACAAGTTAGGTATTCTTTTCATGTGTAAGTTGACATACTTTTACTGTGTTTCTAGTATGCGATCATGACATGAGACCTGTATTGTTGAAATTTTTTTTCTGGTCTACTGTTACATATACTAGAATTTTCTGACTCCATATGTATTCTCTGCTTCAGTCTTTATGATTGAAACATGTATCTTTGACATTGTTTGTTGGCAGCGAATACCACATCTGTGTTTCTCACAGAAATTAGTAATTGCTGTAGAATCTTGGGGGGTGGGGGGACAGTCTTGTCTGATCATGTTTATAATTTTACCTCTGCTTATTGGCCTTGATATTGTTTGGAAGTTGAACAGGATACATTGAGTTACTAAGAGATCTTGTGGCATTACAATAAAAAGTCATGTCCAGATGGTTTTACAACACTGATGTGTTGTCATCTTGCATACGATGGGAAACTATATCCCAGAGTCCTTCAGTTTATGGTTCTGAGTTAAAGTTCACGCATTGAGGAAGATGCATGAGGTTGGAAGGTAGAAGTGAGGAAGCCATGACTCAGATCTTCTATACCGTCAGGAGACAGAGGTGCTTGGGAACAAGCGGGCTTGAGTTTCAGCATTTTCTTCTGATTTCTGGCTCTGCCCATCTGGGACAGTTGCAGCTGAACACATGTTTAATGTTAATTCCCTCTTAGGCAACTGATTCCACAGACTTTCACATGAGTTCCCTCATCATGGACCCTCACTGGTTTTCAGGTTCACACAGATCCTTGCATTTTCCTGTAGCTCTTTGATGTCCATCAGGCCTCTTTGTCAGGCCTTTTCTCTTAGAGACCTCTCATCCTGTCATCCCCTTCATCTCTCACCTGCTAATTACATGATATCTGTAGTAGCAGGCATCTTGTTTTCCTATTGGTAGGTCTGTTTCTTGCATCCGCCTTGATACAGTTAATGCTGATAAGTGCAGGAAATTTAGTTCCCCGGTTGCATTCTTTTTTTTTTTTTTTTTAATGTCTTTATTGATTTCAGAGAGAGGTGGGGAGAGAGAGAAACACCGATGAGAGTCATTGATCAGCTGCCTCCTGCACGCCCCCTGCTGGGGATCGAGCCCACAACCCGGGCATGTGTCCTGACCAGGAATTAAACCACGATCTCCTGGATCCTAGGTTGAAGCTCAACCACTGAGCCATGCCCAGCCATGCCCTAGATAATATTTTAATGTGAAAGGCCATGATGTTTAAGGTAACTGAGTTTCCATTTTAAGTGCTAATGATCCATCCCTATGTCATTATACTTGTATTGTACTTCTATACTTTCATAATTATGCTACCAACATAACAGTTATCGATGTTGTATCAACTTATGATAAGCCCCTTCACCTCATTACTTAGAAAAGCATGGCTATTATTGAATGTGTTCTTATTTATAAAATTTAGAAGTGGAGATCATGAAGTTCCAAAAAAACTGGATTGTAGTATTAAAGGAATTTTATGAAAATGATACAGCTATTGGTTAAGTATTGACATCATGGTGACATTGCCCTGTTAGAATATGCCCCATCTTTACATTTATTTTAGTCAGCTGTGATGTTATTCAGTATAATTTTACAATTTTTACGTTACATTCTCTTTATTTTTATGTTAAGCTGATATCCTAAAAACCTGTTCATCATTTTTTCTGCTGGTTACCCTTTTATGCTTTTGAAGTTCTAGACACAATCATTTCAGCTCTGAAACAAGACACGTTACTTTTTTTCTTCCTTTACTAACCTAATACCTATTTCTTATGGCACTGACTCAGATGCCTAGTCAGCTGCTGAAGGAGACTGGAGTAATGCATATTCTTGTTTTGTGTGTAATTTTATTGAACAAGAAAATGTTAAATATATATGTGTATATATATATGTTCTTTCATAAACATTTTTGGTTAATCCTCACCTGAGGATATTTTTTCCATTGCTTTTCAGAGAGTGGAAGGGAAGGAGGGAGGGGGGGAAGAGGGAGAAAGAGATACATCAATGTGAGAGAGATACATCAACTGGTTGCCTCCTGCATGTGCCCGAATCCCT